GATAGCGCTGAAATACGCGGCGCGATAAACGCAGCGGCGTATCGTATTCGATACGAGATACGATATAACACTCTGACGTGTACAAATTTGCTTCGAGTGGAAAATACGTAACGATTATTGGATCAAGAGAAAGAGAAAAAGGGAAATAGGCGTGGACGAATAGAGGGGAAAAATCGCGCGTGAAACGTTTCTCGACGGTGATAACCGGATAATGCTGTTGGCGAAAATTCCATTCTCATTGCCGAGAGAGAATCCTCCGAGGAAAAGGAGGGAGTATACCGCGAGCGAGAGTCGCGTAGACGATACGATACGAGAACAACGGTCAAGGAGCGCGCCGAACAACGGCGAGAAGAGCGTGCGGGAAGAGCGCGGAGAGAGCGAATGCAGCAGCATCGGTGCGGCGATGCAGCGACGGGACGGGACGGGACGGGACGGGACGGGAAAGTGCGATTTAGAGGGGCGCGCGGGTACATGCTGTAAGGCTGTAACGCGCGAGAGCCGGACATGGAGAGTGGGGGCTAGGAATGGGCTCGGTGGGGGTAGCGCGCTGCTTTTGAAAAAACCGCAAAGCTTTAAGAAGGCGCGCGGTACCCCCCACCACCGAGTACTACGCGAGCAACTAGCGGCCGACATAGACAAGCGCTGCGCTTACTATTACTACTGGAAAATAGTGCGGGTGCGACATTGCTGGCTCGCCGATCGCTGCTGTGGAAATTCTCTCGGAAGTCGGACGAGAGACAGTGGAAATATAGTGCGCTTCTGCCCGAAATTCTCACTCACGGGAGGGGGGGGGGGAGGGTATATCGTCGGGCCTGAAATCTGATAGATCAATGCGTGTTTTTGTTTCTTTTCTACCGTTTTCTTCCACCATGTGGACGTAACCTGCGGGGCTGAATATAATAATACGAGTAAGAAAGTCACGATAACTGCTGGTGACACGTTGGTGTCATAGTAGTTGGTGCACCCGCCTAATTACTGATGGTAGAAATTATTCATTTATAAATATCTGTAGAGAAAATTGAAACTTTCTCCTTCTCTCGCCCTCGCGAGATGTATGAATCTGACGCGGAATTAATTATTCCATTCTGATTAGAAATAATTCCCGACACCTGAAAAATACATCGTGAGCGCGCGATTGTAGGCAAATATCTCATCATTAAAGCACCCGTCGGTCTTTTTTTCACGCGGACGAAAATTTCAGAATCTTTATCCGTACGATACATAATTTCCTCAAGTTTAAAAGAATTAGTCACATTTTCTCATCGCCCAACTGACGATTGCGGATACACGGTTGAATACGCGAGTCCGAGTAGCGCGATAGATGCGCAATTTATTCGTGCGCAGTACTCGTTTTCCTGACGACAGTGCGCTTCAGTGGTGCTAAATAATGCGACGAATATAGTGACAAAACCATTTATAAGGATATACCGTCGTTACACGGCCGATGAAAATAAGTCAGTGAAAATATTTTTATAAAACGTATGTGCATGTGCGTGTTGTGTGTGTCTGCGCGAGCGCGCGCGCGCGCGCGCGCCATCGAATTCATCAATCGATCGGTCCTGATCGATAAAATGGCAGCGGGACTCGAGAGGACTCGAGAGGTCTTCCAACCATTTTGGAAAAAGAACAAAACAGGGAATGAATGTAGAATAATGTGCAAATATTGAACGTATCCCAAGAGAGTGCGTGTCGCTACATCATACTAATTTCCCAAATACATCGTTGGCTAAATCCACTTTTCTACCTCCGTTAAATAACTACTGTACGCGTTTGAATGATCGCGAATCGTTGCGCGTCCACCGCGCAGCTTCGCTTCGTGCCGCTCTCGAGTACATTTAATCCCGCAGGGACACGTATGATCAATGAAAGTTGCACCGCTGCTTCGCTCGGCCCCAGAGTGCCATGTTTCGCGGCCTTGATTCGCGCGATAAATTTTCTCCTATGGCAAAACCTGATAAAACCGAGGACGTGTTTGTGTTTTCGTGCAAATTGTGCAACTTGTTGGTTCTTACACGCAATTATTCAGATTCTATAGCTCTTTTAAAGAGTGCTCGTTTAAAATGTGACACAAGTTCTCGATCAATAAGCGATCGCTTTTGCAAGACGCGTGCAACGATGAAAGAAACTTTATGTTTGACGGTGACGAAAGTAAAATGAACGATCCATATTTTATGACATCGAGCAGTGTCCAAGTTTAGAAAAGAATTATTACCCACCGAAATCGTTTACACAAAAATTGCACAAAAAATTGCATAATTATGTCGGCAACAAACACTAAAAGTTCATTACGACCCAAATGTCGTATCGATATTTGAAAGAAATACCACGATAACTCCTCCAGAGACGCATATTTCTACGAGGCAGAGTGGAATCGATATCGAGAATACGAATTTTCTGAAAAGTACACGCAATAAACGACGAGAGGCGAAATTAGAGAGAGGACAGCCCGCGAGAGATGCTAAGGAAACCGTCGCTTGAAAAGAAACGAATTGCCACGTATGGAAAGCTGGCCCGGTTTAATTGCAGAAGTCAAACATCGTATGCAACTTTCACCAACGTCGGTGTTTATGCATCATATGCCCTTTTGCCCCACAGACTTCGCTTTGGGGCAGGCGAATGGTGTGTGCGTGTGTGTGTGTGTGTGTGTGTGTGTGCGCGCGTGCGTGCGGGCGCACGTTGTGCACGTTGTGAGAGCGTGACAAAGAAAGCCGTATAATATATTTCATTAGTGGGCGAAGCTTTCTTATAGTCATTGCTCGACGCGTACGGCGCAAGTATCGCGATATCGAGTTGCGAGTTTGCGCAACGAGAAATATTTCTCTGTTCGATTCGCTGTTTCGATGTTTCAGTTTCGAGAAAAATCACACACACACACACACACACACACACACAGTTCGACTCCACCACAAGCTCACATTTTCACGGCTTCGCCGTGATACCTCTATAGGGACTGGTTTGATTCGAATTTTCATCGCGCTTGAGATGTTTTCCCCGCGCGTGTGTTACGTCGGAGGCAACGTAAGAGAAGATTTATCCGACGACGATAATAACAATACGTCGCATGTCGCATCTCGCCAGGCGTATTCTCTGAAATTCACTTCGGCTTCGCGTTCTCCCGCGCGACCATTGCGTGCTTCTTTGCACTCTTCTTGACCCCGGCGCACTGAGATTTGCATCCGCGCGCTGGCGACAGCTGGCGACGGAACGAAAGAATAGAGAGCGAGACACAATTTGCGATAAATATGCATCGGCAAAAACACACGGCATATTCAGCTAAATGCCGTTATCGCGATTGCATACGCGCGAAATTAAAATCAGGTCAATCCCGCCGTCCTCGAGCCAAGCAGCAGACGTACGGTATTTTTGGCTGAGTCATACGCATACACGTGTAAACGCATGTCGGCGTGTGTAATGCGTGCACTATGCGCTCGCAATGTGCGTTCACCCATCAGGAACGAGAGCGTGAACCACGCTCGTTCGCTCGCGGCGGAGTGTGCATTACGCGCCGTAACCATGAATTGGTAGACAAAGTTGATGGATTCTGCTCGCTTTACACGAGCTGAGCATGAGTGCGGATTGATCGGCCACGTGGCGCAAAGAGAAATATCTACTCTGCATACTCGTCCGGATTAATGCGTCGTGAATTTCTGCGACGATCGTATCCCTCTCCCTCCCATCCCCTTTCTCCCTCTCTCTCTCTCTCTCTCTCTTTGATTCAAATGCGACTTCCCGCATTTATAAATATACTGCGCCGATTTTGCAACATAGGTATACAAGGTCTTAGCCTTTGCCTCCTCAAATTCTCGGCGTATAAAGTTAACAAAGCAACTCGTTTCTCATTTCACGTCACGTTTGTGACGCCCGCTCCGCTTTGCTCTTTAAACGATCGCGTTTGCTTTTGCACGAGCGTAATGTTCGTCAATTGGATTTATTTAATGGAAAGGAACGACAGACACACACACACACGCAATGTCCGCGAGAGTCAAATTGACGAGAGGCAAATTGAAAGGAATTCGCGTAATATAGTTTGCGCGAGTGAGAGATTTTGGCCGGAAGGAATCTGCCGGGACGGAAAAGTGAAACGAGGCCAATGAGCCGAACGGGCCGGCGATGCATCGCTATTAAATGCAAAGTGCTGTAACGGTACTGTAACGGTCTGTAGCCATAGTTTTCGGCAAAAGTCTCTCTCTCTCTCTCTCTCTCTCTCTCTCTCTCTCTCTCTCTCTCTCTGCCTCTCTCTCTCTCTCTCCCTCTGCCTCTCTCTCTCTCTCTCTCTCTCTCCCTCTCTCCCTCTCTCTCTCTCCCTCTGCCTCTCTCTCTCTCTCTCTCTCTCTCTCCCCTCTCTCTCTCTCTCTCTCTCTCTCCTCTCTCTCTCTCTCTCTCTCTCTCTCTCTCTCTCTCTCTCTCTCTCTCTCTCTCTCTCTGTCTGTCTGTCTGTCTCGGGACGGAAAAGCGCGACAGTCGACAATTGACACTACGTGACAATGACCGTCGGCCGAGACGCGACGTCAACACGTTGCATGATGTATTCTCTCGTTTTTTCCGCCTCATTTCTCCACGCAATCTGGGACAGTTCTGTAAATGCACGTCGCGTATCGCCTATTACAGCACAGCCTCGAGATTTAGACCAAGGCCGACCAAAGGTATTTGCGTGGTTACCGCCCGTGATGTTGTGTGCCCGGAGTAATCGAGCGTGAATGACACACGTGAATCGAGCAAACTCGCATCGACTCGGCGCATTAAAGTTCACACAGGTTTTCCATATCGAGCCTAGGCTTAATCTCGTGCGTGGGTAAACTCTCTCTCTCTCTCTCTCTCTCTCTCTCTCTTTCACGTGTCTTTCAGAGCCAGCCGTAATCGCAATCCGGTGTGTCACAGACGATGAAAAGAGGAGAAGAAACATGTCGCTGTCGTCCGATCGAAGATTAGAAATGTCACACACCTTCGCTCGTCGAGAACCTGTTGTTGGAGAAAGAGACTACGCGATTAGCAAGACTTACGTCTTGCGCGGAGAGAACCCTCGTGGTGGCAGCTTGAACGGGAACATTTCCGGAATGCGAGTGACGACGTTGCGATTCTACCGCCGCGTTATTGCGAGTGCAGGCGCTCTTGTACCAAGGCAGACCATCCCCGCTGTCCCGGTCGTTTCGATATTTTCGCCACACATGCCTGGAACGCGCGAGTGATAGATATATATATATATATATATATACATTACAAGGGATCGTTCTGATCGTTGCGATTGCGCGAACGACGCGTTAGAGGAACAACCGCCGCGCCGCGGACGAGTTTGCCGCGTATCTTTCTCGCAACGAGCGAAATTAGCATACCTGACGCCGAAGGCGATCCCCAGGGCGATGATCAGCGGTAATAACGTCGATATGCAAGCGAGTAAGACGGTCTGTATGTCTGAAAAGCTGGCGAGAATACCTGAAAATTATGATGTTTCGGGTTAAAGCGTGAAACTCTCGGAGCGATAATAACTCGAGTCGTTTTACTAGCTGGCGATACGCAGCAACGGTCCCCGCCGATCCGATAACTCGGGGCACCCGCGACACCTCTCGCGGTCCTCCTCCTCTATCGAAGGACGCTAGATCGAGAGAGCGAGGTCGCGTTCGAGGTCGCGTTGCTGCGCTCGAAGCTCCGTTCGCCCTCCGCTTGCTGAGGAAGAGCAGCGTTCTCTCTCGCTGCTCTCGGTGCGTGCGTTCCGCACGTGCACGCACGATATTGCGCACGATATATCGCGAGTACGTTATCGCACTACTTACTATGATCGAGCTCGTCGTGCTCGACGAGATATCCCGTCACGTTGTAGACGTGATGGTGCGGTTTGACGGTAGTGACGGCTGCAGGATCGGCCGTCACCACCACTGTGGACGGATTAGTCGGGATCGTCGCCTCGGCGTTAATCGCAGCCGCGACCACGGTGGAAGGCAGCAGTGTCATCAACGTGAGATTCAGCTTCCTCGCCAGCGTTGTTCCAGCGTTTCCAGTCGTGCAACGCCGATTGCGGTTGCGTGTCATCGTTTCTGCCATTTCATTCGTGCCCGCCGATGCATCACCACATCACCGGGAGATTCGGCCGCGGGACGAGACACACGGCGGGTTCGGTATCGATACGGAAGATGAATCAAGCGAAATCAAGACCGACCGGATGATCTACGCCGCGCATCCGCTCTCTTTCCCTACCAGGCTCCCTCTCTCTCTCTCTCTCTCTCTCTCTCTCTCTCTCTCTCTCTCTCTCTCTCTCTCTCTCTCTCTCTCTCTCTCACATTGTCAGGTCTTTCTGCCGCGCATTACTTATCGCGCGTCCTCGATTCCGCAAGAGTCCGAGTGAATTTATCGCGTCGCCGGCTGATAATAGGCATCGCGCGGAAGGACACGCGGAAGTCGCTCTCTTTCTCTCTCTCTCTCTCTCTCTCTCTCTCTCGTCGACGGGTTAAACGTATCGCAAATATAAAAACCTCACATTTTCATGTATGCATACGCAAATATATGTACATATACATGCAGTCGCCCACACACGCCATTTCATTCGAAGCGACGAGCTCCAGAGTCGAACAGGACTAGACGCGCAGGTCCGACGCGAAGGGCTCTTCCCGTTGCGTTTCACTTTTCCCGTGGCCGAAACGCGATGCGCCCGAACAGCGCGCCGAAAGCATGACGAGCGTAGCGAGATCAATCTCTCGCGCGGACTTTCCCTTCGCGTTGTCTCAAATGCAAGCGCTTTTAGCAAGCGTTCGCCGCTCGCGCTCTCTTATCTTCCTCCAGGCTAGCTGCCAATATTGAGCGCTGAGAAAGCAGATGAACCGATTGGGAAAAATTTACGGTCGAAATCTCCTTCATCCGGAATTTACTCGAGCCCCTTTCTCTCCTCTTTACGGTTCACCTTTTCCACATTCGCACGGCGATCCATCATCAGCGTCGTTCGCGTGCACGAAATCCATTCTCCTTCGGCGAACCTTCCGCGGCACATCTTGATGCGTCACTGCAACAAGATATTTTGTTGTCGTTTAATTAAAATTATCGGGATTAATCAAAGCTCAATCTTCAGTTTCATCAAAGTGGTAATTGATGTATGCGCGCGCGCGCGTGCGCGCGTGCGTGCGGCGTGATGACACAATTGGATGTATATGACGGCAGTAACGTAGCACTCAATTTACGCGTGTACACGGTATAAGCGTGTCCTGCACGCTTGTCGAGAAAAGCAGATTGAAAATTGCTCTCTAGTCCATTGTCCACATACGACGATATTAGTGCGTTTCTTTTCCTTTCTCTCTCTCTCTCTCTCTCTCTCTCTCTGTCTCTCACCTTGACTTCTCTCTCGCGATTAAACAATTCAACAAGTAGACGAGTATCGATTCAAAACTGAAACAAATAACAGTTTTTTTAACGCTGACGACGGAGAGACGACTGTCTCTCGGAGGCAGATGACAGAAAGAGGAGAGCCAGTCGTACATGGGCCATTTCGAATGATGCAATTTCACATACAGCTTTTGTAGCTTTCAACTGCATTGGAAAATTGTGACACGCTTTATATATGTGTATATATATATATATATATATATATATATAATGTGCCGCGCGTACGTGCACACGAGAGAGCGTCTTACACACAGGCTGTAAAGCGACCGATTATGCCGGTCGATACATACGCAAGCGACACACAACGCGAAACCCCAGGCGACAATCTTACGCACACGTAGTCGCTGTCGCTATTACGATGGGTATTCAGTGTACTCGATACGCCATGTAGCGCGCATAATGCCGCTGCATGTACGATATATACCTGCACGTCGTGGCCTGTTTGACGAACTCCCGTGTCCCGCAGCGAGTGCGCCATAACGCGCTGCAACATTCTGTGTGTAACGAGGGCAAGGTATGGACGTATGGACAAGAGACAAGATTCAATCTAGCGTTAAGCCTCGGCTCGTTCTTTTCAAGATGCGCACGGCGATGTGCACGGCGATAAAGCGAAAATCGAACTTGTCGCGCGCGCCGCTCTTTCAGACAGAGAGCAGACAGGGAACATTATTCGGCGCGGCGCGGATTCGAAAGCTGCGGACTACGACTGTATAAAAAAGCCGCACAACGCAGTCTTCCCCGACGACGAGGCGTCCGATTCGAGCTGTCGTATGTCACGCGAGATCCACTTGAAATCAAGTGCTTGTCCCCCCCCCTCCCCCGCTTGAGATAAGGGAAGAGAAACAAGAAGGAAAGGTAAGAATCATCCTGGAGATCCTAGACACCTAGACAGCGCGCGGCGGGAGGAGAGTTACGTAACTCCGTGTCTTTGTGTCGGAACGGCGCGCGCTTTGCGCGACAGAGATCGCGCGCATCGCCGCGATTGCAAGTCGCCTTCTTCTTCCGCGGGTGACGGCGAGGGAGGAGGGGGGAGGGGGGTTTCGGCGAGGCAGCCGTTTCTCATACGCTACGCCTGCATCGGTGCAATGTCCGGTGAAAGGGGCGGTGAGGGGCGAAGGGGGAGGTTGCAAGGTCCAGGACCGCAGTTTGGGTAAAGCCGTTCGACACGCCACGACATGGCACAGAGAGGCTCGTGCCTCGCACACTCCTCGCTGATCGCGCTGCAACGCGATGCACAACGCTGTGACTTTGTCACAGCGGCTTTGTCCCATTTGGAATGGAATTTTTCCTTCCCTGACTCAGGGACACCAAAGGATAATCACTTGTAACGCTTGTAACGACAATTTCACGTGCAAACGGACAATGCCGGGATGAATCGAAGCGTTCTCGTCTCGTCCCGCATCTCGAGGAGACGCTGCAATTTCGATCTCGATTTCCCAATCGAGTGTCCCTTCGCGCGTTCGTTTCGCGAGATCGACGGATTCGCGGATAACACAAAGTACAACTTTTATCCCACATGCAGCTTAAAATAGTAAGTTTGTCGGGATTCCGAGTACGTGACTCCAGAGAGTTACTTTTCTCGTGTAACGCCGAGCCGAGCCGCGTATCGCAGCCGCGGGAATTGAGTTTGCGCGAGTTAACACGATGATAGAGGATCAATTTTCGCGGGACGTGTGGAATAAAATTCGACTGCACGTTGGATCGCCCAACGGGCGGAGGCTCTTGCCTCGTTACATTATGGTATTCGCGGTACAATTGCGGTGGCGCGCAATAGCTCCCCCCCCCCCCTCCCCATCGATAGCCTTCAATTTCACACGCGCACAATTTTGATCGCCGAAAATCGATAATCTACACCTAGGATCAGCACCTAGCTAATGCACTTTGCCTCATTTGCAACTTGACGCGGAAAATGTTCGAGTTGCGTCACAGATCGCGCAGATTCGTCGCGATAAACATTACTCTTTTCCTGATTCCCCTCAAGCCGTGAGACGACGAGAGAAACGTACACACAACTCGTTCTCTCTCTCTCTCTCTCTCTCTCTCTGAACAGTCGGCCCTCAACAGACTTACTCATCGTCATCATCACATTTTAATGCCGCGTACCTCGTCGCGTTTAGAATTTTAAGCGCGCGCGTTTTCTGCAACCGAGGCGCGCTTCCCGCAACCGAGAATTCAATTCAACGCGACACAAACTTCGAAATTCAGACATGGGGGATTCGCTTTGCGAATTTCCGCACGAATTCGTGCGGAAGCTGCCGTTGTGTAATTGATGTCGCGGAAAATACAGAAAACGCATCGAGAACGTCGGAACGCACGCACAGGACGTGCAATCACGGGATGTGATATGTAAATATGTAGGAACTCGACAAAATATATTTACATCGTATGACCTCTGTGAACCTTGACTTATTGTCGTTAGGTGAAAACCGATTGTGCTGCTTAGAAGAACGGCGATTACATAAGCTGACACGTCAGCCACGTCCTGGCGTCGTAACCGGTAGATTTTTCAAGTTAGCCGCTACACGTCGCTCCTGACCTTACACAGAGAGAGTATCGAGCCTTTGAACTTATATACATATATATATATATATATATATATATCGTATATGGTACGCACCGCGCGTTTTCCATTTCTTCGTGTTACCGTCCAGGTGACCTTTGCAACGTGCAAGGCGTGTGTGAGGCGGCTCACACGACGAGAGCTCACGGGGGGGCACGGGAAACCGGCTGTTGGACTAGACCAGACACACACACACACACACACACACACACACATCCCCACGTCCCTCGATCGTCGCGATTATAAGGGCCAGCGGAGGTCGGAAGCACGAATGTCGGGGAATGTCGTATCCGGTATACGTACCGTACGATTACGCTTTCCATTTTCTTCCGGAGCAAAGTGACGCATCTGGCTCGAGCATGACGAACCAGAGAACGGAGAGAGATCGCTCAGCTCGAAGCTGAGTCCTGAGAGAGCTCTCGGCGGCGGCCGCTCGAGAGCGGCGACCACGGGCGGACGTGGAGTGCCTGCGTCCGGATCGGCCTGCTGCCGATCGGCTAGCTGGGGCAACCTGGGGCAAGCTGAGAGACAACGAAACACGGGAAACGACACACCTCTCTGGCTGAGCCGGCGGACTTGACACGGACCGCGAAAGGGAGGCTGCGAAACTGAGATGAAACCAGAGCGCAACCCCCGGTGCGCGCGCGCAGCATCCCCGGAATATACGGTAGCAGCCCGGCTAAACCAGCGGCTAACCCTCGGCGTTGCGTCTACTTATTCGCTGTCCCTCGAGTCAATGTCGCGCGTCGTGTCTCTATACTCACTCTCTCTCTCTCTCTCTCCTTTCCTTTCTCATTACCACGTACACACACTCAACAAAGTATCGAACTTATTAGGAAACTCTTGAGAAACTGTGCATTTTCATCAAAATTCATCAAAATTTCACCAAAATACACTGATATAGACTGAGAAGTTTTCATTCTATTTTTTTTTTTTTCATGCCCTTTCTCTCCGAAACAAGCGTTTGTTGAGACAATCTTTCAAACCAATGCCACGCGAGATATCTTTTCATTGGAGACATTGGAATATTTTCGTTTCCGATAGAGCCGCTTGCGCGATTTTAATTATAAGCCCATTTTTATTTTCCTTTTTCTTTTGCTCCGATGGATCAATTTTGCCTGTCAAATCTATGATTTGACAGGCAAGTTTGAGATCTCGTCGTTCCACACATCATATAAACAAAATCGTGAAAATTGAGGAAAAAGATCTCGCTGTCACGTCTTACAGTGACCAATAAAACTATTTAGAGTACTCTCACCTCTTCTATAACACACACACACACACACACACGAGAGGAACATCAATCGATGAAAACATCCAAAGAAGAATCGTTTATTGTTTTGACTGCAGAATAAAACTTTTTTCAATTTTAGACAGCCATCGCGAATGTATAAACTTTTACTCGAGGTCCATCGGATAAATTCGAAACGAGACATTTGTGACATCTGTTGGTGCTGCACGTCGTGCACTATTCGTGATTCATTGAAATCATCTGTAGGAATAATAACCAACTAACGCCATCTTTCGAAGATACCGTTGAATTCGCTACTGCTCGTTACAATCAACTGCAACTCAGAATCGCACGGAATGGCACGCGGATAGTTGAAAGTTTTTCATGTTTATTTATATATTTTTCGCGAACGCTATATAACGAGATATAGCGATGGCGTCGGCTTACATCAAGGACGAGTCAGGTAACGGTCAATTATTAACACTGTTGTGTCGCGAGCAAGTATATTTGGTCCAATGTATACCGGTTCTAACCTTAACCTAACCTAATCGGACGTGTAAACAAGTGTAAAGTGTGATCGATTTCGTGTAATAATAGATCATTTTCTTTTTATGCGCTATAATTAGATAGTCAATCTCGAGAGATTTTCCTCGTATCCCGAAACACCGCGATGTTTCTCGCAAAATTGTTCTCATACGTATCGAAGAGAGACGCTTCTCTGTAGGATATTTGAAACTCTGTAGGATATATTTTGTGATTATCAAACGATAATTTAAATAAATCGGCCTTATTTGTAAAATAAGTTCTTTGCACATGTCCATTATTGAAGAAGACAAATCTCACTGATTCAACTAAAAGCCAGATTACATACGTTGGATGTGTATCAACTGAATTTCATTCAACAGACATAACCAAAGATGTTATAAAAAATGTTTTATCATCATTAAAGAGAGAAATTGTCTTATCTAATATGCCTTGAATGCTCCAATTTACAAACCTTGATATGTTTTTATTGTATAGAATCAAAATATTATTATCTTAGGTGGCACCTTTATCCCAGCAAGCCAAAGACCTGATGGTACGTGGCGTAAGCCAAGACGTGTGAAGGATGGATATATTCCTCAAGAAGAAGTTCCACTGTATGTTTTAGTTCTTTCATATTTTTATTTGTCATGTTATCTATCTCTTAATATTATCTATATAATGTATAATGTCTTAATATTATCTACTATTTTATTCAAAGGTATGAAAGTAAAGGAAAACAGCTGATAAAGAAACCTTTATATCCCGTGGGTGCCAGTCCAGAATTTATAGCAGAGCATAAAGCAAAACAGGAGGCTCTGGCAGCAAAAAACAAAGTAACACCCGGTACACAAGGAAAAGCTGAAGAAGGGAAAAAGAAGAAGAAAAAAAACAAATCTAAGACTACCGAACCTGTTACTTGGAAAGTAATAACCGAAGGACTGTCTAGCATAACAACCACAGAACCTGAGCTTTCTAAAGCTGTTCCACCTCACAATAATAAGTCAATGTGCACTATGAAAAAAGCTACAACAAATAATATAATTACGGACAATGCAGATACTTTGCAGAAATCAACGGCTGATCCACAAAAGAGATTGAAAAATCTGCGCAAGAAAGTAAGGGAAATAGAAGCATTAGAAGAAAAGATCAAAACTGGAGCTTTGAAAAATCCTGAAAAAGAAATACTTGATAAAGTGGCACGGAAAACAGAGATTTCTAAAGAAATAAAAATATTAGAGGCTGCTCTCAGTTAGAAGTCCAGTCTATAGAACAGAAATTTATTAGTGCCATCGAATAACATCTCATAAAATCTTGTCAATAACAAAACACACAAACTACATACATATATAAGCCATGAAAATCTTTATTCCTTTTAATGATTACATGGCAATTTTAATATTTCACCATTCAGCTCACAAGTTTTCTCTCTCTCTCCCCTAGGTCATCCCTTTATTCAACCCATCCATCCATCCACAGTAAAAAGATATCTATTATATCCAGATATACATATATTCACACACACACACACACATATACATTCACAACAAGGCGATGGTATTAATTGTAAACAATTTTAATATTTGATAATGTGTGTATTGTGTATAAGAACGTAATATAACGTCGCATTTTAATAAATACAAATAATGTTTTTGTTAAAAGAGTCGCAATGTGATAAGAACAATTTTAGATGGATTTGTATCGTCTGTCAAAATCCAAAAAATATATATATATATGAATGTCCCTGTGCGGAAGTGTTTTATCTTTATAATCTATTTAGTAAAACAGAATTTAAAGATATTTCATGATTTTGAAAAATAAATCTTTAATTTTCGACTTTTTCTTCTCTCATTTACATAAGATGAAATAAAGTCAATAGTTTATAACAATGCTCGGAATTACTTTCAATTTTAGGAAGTTTCCTCTCAATTTACTCCCCCTTAAGTACTACACTGACACATTCAGCGGCCGTAAATCTGACATTTGTGCTTTCCGATAAGGTAAGGGGAAATCTCCCGAAATAAATAGTAACTTTAGGCCCAGTTCCACAACTTGCTTTAAACTCCGTTTAAAGCAAGTTGTGGAACTGGGCCCTAATCGCTGCCATACATACTCGAACTGCCGCTACATTCGTCGTAGAAACAGTTTAGCTCCCATTAAATCTGAAACGAAAGATACGTTTTCTAATTACCTCTACCGACGAGAAAAACACACGGCGGCATGGAGAATCCGAAGGCCTGAATGTATATGTATATACCTTCCTCTGTCTGATTTAATTTAAATAGAACGTAGTGTTGGTTACCATCTTGATAGTCTCCGATATCTTTCTCCCATTACTCCATATCTGTTACTGTTACATGCTTATTTTGAAAAACTGCTTCATATTTCAGCCACGATATTCCTAAGAGGGCGCTAACGCTCAGCGAGATTTCTCTTATCTCCAAATCCAACGGCACCGATGAGGTAGTATCAGAGAAAAATCTAAAAGCGGGCACCAGGGCGTTTTTTCTGCCAAATTCCGACGCGGCCCCTGATAAAATGAATGTACGCTACATCCATCCTGATGGTAACGGCAAAGCGTGCACGGTTCTTGTTCACGCTACTTCCATAAGGAAGATAATAAGATAGAAAAGTATAGACGATCAATCACTCTCTCCGTCTTTGTCGCGCCACCGATGACCGCCGTAGCCGCGGCAGGAGTAAAGCCCTAAACACAATGCCAGGCAACAGGCAACAAGAATAAAAATAGACCAATCACAATCGACTATTACAAGAATAATCTATTGTGATTGGTCTATTTTTATTCTTATTGCCTATTGCCTGACATTGTGTTTACGGCTTAAGCACGAGGCGAGTCAGCGGCAGATCTTATCACCAAACTAAGATCTCTCCCGTCTTGCCCCTTCACCATCTCATCTTTCACGCAAGACACTACCCGTAATTCGGGAAGGAATATTTCGAAACTGCGCGGAAAACTAGCAATGGCTGCGTTCAGTAGAACAAAACGATCAGTGAGCGCTTAGTGATTATTGTCTGTGATTGGAGCATTCTTTTAGATTCTTCATAGACCCAGAAGTATTTACCAATCAGGAGCGAGAATCACTAAGCGCTCACTGATCACTTTGTTCTGCTGAACGCAGCCAATGACACAAAATTACGCTAATAGGGGTGGCCATTTATATAATTTTTATATCCAATTTTTTTCATTTTTTTATTCAATCTTTTTCATTTTTTTCCAAAATCAATACGAAAATGAAGGGTCACCGATTATAAGGTAATTATTATATATATTATATTATTCGAAGTATTGCCCATCGCTAGCTATACATTTTTCCCACCTGTCTGACAATTTGTGGATGCCACGCCAAAAAACTGTTGTTCTTTTGAGGCAAACCAGTCATCGAGCCATTTTCGTACATTTTCGTAAGAAGTGAAGCGCGCTGCTCAGCAAGTGCGTGTCCCATCGATGCAAATAAGTAGTAATCGGACGGAGCCAAGTCTGGTGAGTAAGCCGCATACGAAAGTATTTCCCAATCAAACGCCTCAATCGTTTCCTTGACCAGTTTTGCTGTGTGTGACGGTGCATTATCACGAAGCAAAATCACTTTGTGTTGCCTTTTTTGATATTCTGATCGTTTTTCACGCAAAGCTTGATTCAAATCGATCATTTGTTGTCAGTTTAACGGTTTCGCCAGGTTTTAGCAGCTTATAATCAGATCACACCCTTCTGATCCCACCAAACACAGAGCATTATTGTCTTCCGTCCATAGCGATTTGGCCTTGCAGTCGATATCGATGGTTCGCCTGGAGTTACCCATGATCCTTTTTATGCTTAGGATTCTCAAAATATGTCCACTTTTCATCGCCAGTCACAATTCGATGGAGAAATGACTTTCTTTTGTACCTGACGAGCAGCATTTCGCAAGTGGTTTTTCGGTTTTCCTGCTGTCTTTCATTCAGTTCATGTGGAAAACTCATTTTTCCATCTTCTGGATCTTTCCCATGGCTTTCAAATATATGGAGACGGCTTCTCGTGTCACATCAAATTGATCCGCGAGTTGTTGTTGCGTTTGAGCGTCATCCTCATCCAACAATGCTCGCAATGCTCGCTGTCTTCAAACTTTTTCGGTGGAACTTCCACGTTCTTCGTTTCTCACCACGTAAAAATCACCACGTTTGAATTTGTTAAATCACTCAAAGCACTATGATTTACCAAGAGCATGCTCAGCGTAAGCTTCGACAAGCATTCGATGCGATTCCGCAGCAGTTTTCTTCAAATGGTAACAGAAAATCAATGCTGTCCGCAAATCGTAGCTTCCAGGCACAAAATTCGACATGTTCAACGCTATTACAAACGCTATGCTGTTGTATGAAACTTGTATTGTTGTGAGTTGAAAATCTTTGTCAGATGTCAACAAATGAAAATGGCACCAATGACGCGGTTTGACGGTAACTACGTTGACAGCTAGGGCCGTCTATGGGCAAATTCCGATTTCATATTTACAAACCTGGTACACGGGCAGTGAGTTCTAAGAATCGTAGAGACCTGCGAGCGGACTCGTTGAAAAACTGATGCTTTCGGGTTGAACGTAATATTTCGTTTGCTCATTCAGAATGAATTAATAAAATGCGATTAAAATATAAAATGTGATGAACTATTAAGAATAAAAGTATCAATAAACATTAAGTGTGTTGTTTCAAAATATTTAGATGAGATTTTTATATTTCGTTTCACAACCATGATCAGCTCTCATCAATTTCTTCATTGGATAACTTTTTCATCGCAAAATAAAAAACGCGATATCACGAGACGAGCAACTCCGAATTGTTATAGCATGATGTGCATAAAATAAATACTTACCCCTCGATGATTCCTGATGTCTCTCCTTGCAAAATATATACCCTCGGGCATTTATAATATTTTTCACAACACAAACACTAAATTTAACTCTGCGCAATAACAGGCAATTTTTTTCACAACACTTGATCAACACAACACAAATCTTATGCAACAAACACGCGTAATTTAATTTCACTCGGCACTCCGGTACTCTCGACACGAAACAATACACGCCGATATTCGCCTTTGGTAATTCAAAATCGCGGAAAATACACACGCGGTCGGCCTTTGGAATTGACCATTGCATAATAACCATTGCAATACAATGGTCGCGATTTTCCATTTTTATGTGCGTATGTCGGTGAATACATATCACTAGCGTATTAGCCAATCAAAATATTCTGTTTGAAACCGTCCGTTCCGTTTGAAATATTTCAAGAAGTCGGCCATGACAGAAAAAATTCCCGAAACTTTATTCGACCCTTCCGAGGAATGCACATTCCGGCACATTTTCGAGGGATAGTTAACGAAAGTTGTGCCACATCTCGATGTTTAACGATAATTCACGGCCGAGACTCGGCCGACGAGTCGAAAACGAAGCTCCTACGACGCGAAAACCGAGCTGTCCTAAAGCCCGTATCAGACTACGGATTGGGATTGAGTATTAGAGTGAAATTTAACCAATCAGGGCTAAGTTTACTATATTTGAGATTATTTTCTCTTTTCCAATTGGTCAAATTTCAATCCAATCTCAATCCCAATCCATAGTATGATACGGGCTTTACGCAGCTGGCGCGCTGAACTTTCCTCGGTACTCCAACGATTCATCTCACTTCACTTCGCGCGGCGAAGCGAACTCCGACATAACACACGCGCGAAACTTACTTTCGGCACTCCGGCACCCGGTAACGATTTAAGGCACGAGACTCAGTTACAGCGAGTCAAAATAATCACGGAAAATCACGGGCGACAGTTTCTCGCACACTACACAACCCATAATCGGCGCCATAACTAAATAGGAATGCAACTGCGAACAGCGCCACAAGCGGGATATTCGGTAAGCTGAGTCGACCAATCGCGGTGATTCATTTCTTTCCGTAGTACCGCGATTCTGTAACTCGTTATTGGAGTTAACGACAGTTTCGTTATTGTTGCGCAGCTTTTCTACGGTACACAAAAGCTGCGCAACGATAACGAAAGTGTCGTTAACTCCAATAACGAGTTACAGAATCGCGATATAGTGGAACTATTTATGTGCACAAAGTGTACGAGGTGCGGGTAAAAGTAGTCGACGATAGATTGATTTAATTCGGAGCTACACACATAAGCAATATGGCCCATCCAATTAGAAGAAATGTGTTTTGATTCAACCAATCAGACGTGAATGTCGGACACCAGGACGGTACATACTTTTCGGGGTCATGTATTGAGTCGGAGTTAGCAGTCTAGTTATACTATAGGAGTCTGTGACGATATTCCTAAGAGGGCACTAGTGCACAGCGAGAAATTTCTCTGGTACGCTAAATTCCGTAAGGCCAACTAAGGTCTTTATAGTATCTCGTCGGTGATGATATTAATCATACACAATGTCAATTCTTATGTTTCCTTTTGCGCGTAGTTACATGTTAATTCATGTTACAAACGCGTAACAATATGCTTGTCAAGTACGCTATTATGGTTGTAGCATGGACATAAACCGCCTGAAAGTGGATGTAGCACAGAGTGCCACCACTTGCAGGTTTTACCGCCGAGACGATGAAGGTGGATGTACACATGTCGTAGTTCCCCTCTGAAAATGGATGCAGATGGTGTCCTTTCCCCCAGCAGCAGTGCGGAAAGTCTCGGTGTCGCCGAAAACGTCGTGTTGGCCGCTCTCAGCCCTCTCAGGTTCCTCTCTGGTAGTACGCATGCGTTCGTTGTCCGAGGGCAGTGCAGTCCGAAGGCGTAGCGTATTGGCTTTACTCGTATCGCAGCTATTCTGGCCTCCTATGTGAAGTGCGACGGGGTTTAAAACAGCTGTTCTGCTGGATGGTTGCTTTGACAGAGAGATCGACGGATAAAGCGGATGACTTATCAGACATCCAGGCTCTTAAATGATATCGCGAATATTCCGTGGAGAAAATGAGAATGTCGCGCTCAAACGCAAACGGCAAATCGACACTCTGAAAATCTTTAACGACAAGTAAGGGTGATACTCCAGCCTCTCGTTAATCGTTATAACCTCTCGTTAACCTCACTTGAATCATATTATTGCTAATATCATCGTTCGCGAACGGCCACGCATACCACAAAATTGGCTCAATAATCGAATTACTCGCTACATTAATCGTCCCGTTCATATTCCCTTATATATTGCAAAAATGATCGAAAATCCGTCGAGCGTAAAAATATAAAATTACTTCCGCTTGAAACTTTCCTGTATCATTTGCGTCATTTACTCTAATCGCGGAAACGTCATACTTCCTCGATACGATGATGGAATCCTTTACGATGTTGAAAAGAAAGAGTGAAATCGGTAGAATGTTAAGTCACACACAACTTTAACTCAAGGTCATCGTTGATCTCGAATTTCGTCATGAGCATTACGTGCAGTGGTGTGATATACAGTGATGTGTTACAGTGTAATAGAGCTCAGAGAAGATGCGGACTATCAGGTGGAATTCGACGCTGGCGAAAGGCGAATGGCTATTATGGTTTCCCTGTCGCCAAATTTTCCACTGGAGAAACCGGTACTTAGAGTTTCCCCACCGATAAACCACCCTTGGTGCAATGAGCACAGCGAAATCACTAGTGCACCGGGATTACTCAATGTAAGCTCTGAGAAAAATAGCACAATGATATTCCTCTACACACACACACACACACACACACACACACACACACATTGGATATCTTTTTCATCTTTATGTCTTGTATTTATAAAAGGTAATAATTGTATTATTTGTGCATTAGTTTTCAGTACATAGTGATCTTGGTCGGGTTGTTCAAGTTATTATCAGAGAATTCAGCAAGAATCCACCTCAGTTGTTAGAGGATATTTCACCTGGCTCTACTAAATCTCATAGAGGTATGTGCCTTACTCTGTAGTTTTTGTGTCGACACAGTTGACAATTTTTTTCATCTACTGTACTTAATAGATTCTCTTGATTTTTTATTTACGATTGCAGACTTACAGGAGAGAAACTCGCCGTCTTACGCGCTTCAACAGTATCCTGAGATTCCGTCTACATCGTTCAATTCATATTACAATACACAATTCCCACACTTGTCATCCTCCAGTGCAAACACGAGCATTTATAATTGTAATTACACAAACTCCGGTCACACGTACGTCTCGAATTCAAAATCGTTCGGTAATGCGTCGCATCACACGTCATATATTCCAAGTTCGAGGTGTACCCTTCATAGTGCTCCATCCACGAGGTATACCTCGAATCAGCACGGCACGGCCTACCTGAATTCGCACTATGCAGCAAACACGAATTATCAGCAGCCGTTGCCGAGTCAATCGCAAGCAAAAGTTCCGCAGAGTATAATATTTCCCGAATTAAACAACTTGACTAACGAGGAATTGAAGAGGCTCAGCGAGGATGAGGATAGACTGGATGACTTTTTGGAGAAACATTCCCAAATTAAAGACATAAACGCGGCGATCGAAGACGCTATGGATTGGGTTGAGAAAACTGCTGGTGAGTAAAGACCTCTTGAAAGACTGAAAAATTTCTCAATTATGAGGCACATGTTCGTAAAGACGCATCTATCGATATTCCAACTTAACGAGTTATTTGTACAAGTTTGCATTACTTCCCTGTAGAAGCTAACGTAGCCAAAGAACCTGAGTTGAGACAGCTACAAGCTGATGTGACAAACAAGGTAAAAACGGTGGCCGTGCTGAAAGCCAGATACGACAATCTTATACAACGATACAACAAACTGTCGGAGGTTTTCACGCCGGACCACATAAAGGAGTGCCTGAGACTGGCGGCAGACGAGAGTCACGAAGGAAGCGAGAAGATCGCTGAGGATTTTCTCAACAGGAAGATCGACGTTGAGCGTTTTCTCAGTACATATATCGAATGTCGAAAGTTGGGTCAAGCGAGACGAACTAAAGAAGAGAAACTGGCGCATCAATTGAACGAATTGAAACGAGCTGGTTACTGAAAAATTAAAGAGGGAGAGAGAGAGAGAGAGAAGGGGGGAGAGAGAGAGAGAGAGAGAGAGAGAGAGAGAGAGAGAGAGAGAGAGAGAGAGAGAGAGAGAGAGAGAGAGAGAGAATATATATATATATATACATGAATATATATATGTGTGTGTGTGTGTGTGTGTGTGTGTGTGTGTGTATGTATGCATGCATATATGTGTGTGTGTATATATATATATATATATACACATATATAATACACACATATATATATATATATAATTTTTTTTCTATGGATCGGACAAAACTGTAAATAAGACTTAGTTAAATTAAACGTTATTGTGAATTTAAAATAGCATTCGTGATTCGTGACCAAATATCTGATGCGATTAGAGCATCTTTCGACCGAGAGAAACATTTTTTACAATGTGTAAACGTGTTGTATCATTCGCTTGTTACTTACGCTACATTCTCAATTGCTTTAAAACGCATGGCATTCCAGAATTGGAGCAACATAAACAAGCGGCGCTAAACAAAGTGGTTAAGGAGCAAGAGCTTTAAGATTAATAGCGAACAACGGTTGCAGTGTATTCCGAATAAAGGTAAACAAGAGAAAAGAAAGAAGGCCAGAAGAGTTAAATTATGTTGAACAACCGTGTAATGAGTTGATTCGATGAGTACTTACTCGATAGTGTAAACGACAAGGCTTTAATTATTATATTAGTTTTGCGCGTCTCTCGTGTGCCGCCGCGATCAACTGCTGATGGAGGTAACGTTTTTTACTATGTAAATAAACGCGCAGCGTTGTAATTAAATCAATTTTTGAAAATTTGCTATTCGGTGACGTTACTTTTAATTATTTATCCTGTTAATGTTCCTAATGTAAAATATTGCAAAAATTGTATAGACACAATGAAAGATTGAAAACGAAAACGACATGTTAAGCTGAAAACGATATGCTGAATCCCTTTCCTTCCGGCCATACTTGATAATAAAAAGTAGTATATCCGCGCAAAGATATAAAATTAACGCGACTAAATGAAACGATACTCACCATGTGTTTAATAGTGTTGGTTACTAACTAAGTTTTGTCATCGATTCGTATGTACACATTTGAAAATCAGTGAATTTAGATGTCTCAACGAATATAATTGTCAATTACAGTTACAGTTTTATCTTAGTAAAAATTCGCGCAATCTTACTAAATACGAAGCATGATGATTAGGCGTGCAATTTACGCTGGAGTAGAAAAATAATATATCGATTGAGCGGTTTATCCCCGGTTTGTTAAATGCACTATATATTCAGTCCGTCGTGACAATTGACGTTTCTCTAGTCGGTAACAACGATCGAACGAGTTCCGTTCGTAAGTAGAACCATAATTTCTCGCTGATATATATCTCTCTCTCGTCATCTTACTCATTTCTTCATCAACCGCTCCGTTATCCGCTCGCGCGTTAGTGTACCTAGTAAGTATTTCTCTTTCGCTTCTTCGATATAGCGGCAGGTTTCCGAGATAATTTGCAGATTACGTGGATCTTTCATCAACGGAGGACGGATTCGCACGAGTGTCCTATCACGGATCCACGAAGGAGATCATAATGTAACGCGTGCCCGCGGTCACTCGCAATCCCTCATGATAGTGCGTCAGTCTTCCAGGGTGCATCAACATCCAGCCTGGCTTCGTGTCGGTGACTGAACAATTGTATCGAATGAACCTGCATCCGCCACCCTCGTAATCGACTCCCGCTTGATTCAGGGCGATGTTGATGGTGTAGGTCGACGAGTCGTGGTGCGGCCTCAAGTACGGCTGCTCGTCCGGACGATACTTCACGACGAAGTTCATGAGCGATCGTGGCGGCTGTTGACAAGAAATTGATGTAACCTTGATGCTTCGCGGTAGCGAACATCTCGTAGCGCGAGAAACGTAGTTCCAACTTGTGATTCTTTCTCTTTGGTGCAGTTAAAAAATCTACGTGAGACGTACTGAAGCATATCGAACTACCAATCGTCCGTTACGAAGCGGTACAACCCAACTACAAGCGGATCATATCGAACCCGAAGCCTTAGGTGCGTTTAGGAGAGAGAGAGAGAGAGAGAGAGAGAGAGAGAGTGAGTGCATCACCGTGCGGGGGTGCACTGTGCGCGTTAAAATCACCATCTCCGATTTATCTCAGATTTCAGAGCCCTTACGTAGTCGTCATATCCTGTAAAGACAAGCTGTTGCAAAGGACTGACGTAATCTTTGAGAAATTTTAACCAGGCGTCTTGGAGATCGACTTGGTTCATGTGAATATCTCGAGTTGGTACCGCCTCGTATCCGGTCTCCAAGCGTGGATCCTAAAAAGACCATGCGCACACGCGTGAGTTAACATTGAGCGAGTCTTACATCGTGATAGTAGCCAGTGAAGACGAGCTCCTGCAAGGGCCTAACGTATTCTTTCAAGAAGTATAACCACTGTTGCTCGTACTGAACTTGATTCATGTGAATGTCGCGGGTCGGTACGTTCTCGTAACCACCCGACAAACGTGGATCCTTGAATCGAGAAAGTATGATTGCAAAGGTACAACAATTTAGTTACATTGTACAGACGCGAGAAGTAATAAACTTGCGAAAACTCGAGGAGAGTGAAGCATGCGGCGGCGACTCACATGATTGGATCCGTCGGACCATTGCCCGAAAGCCTCGACGATCCCTATGAGTTCGTTGGTGAACCTACGAGTAACGATGGGGAACCAGTAGACATCAGGACACGGCTGCGAACAGCAAATATTAAACAAGGTTGAACAAGGCGCAACGGTTAAACAAGACGCCAACAAGCAGCGGAGCATGAGGAGTGCTCGACCGACTTGCTGTTGTTGTTGTTGTTGTTGTTGTTGTTGTTGTGCTGTACGTTACCTGAATCGGCTTGTTGTCGGGATTAAAGCTCTCGCTATACTTGGCATGAATGTATCTTCTGTCCCAGTCCAGCTTGTTGTCCATAATCTGGTACATTTCCGGATACGTGAGTTTGATGTCGTAGGTATCGGGATTGACGAGATGGCCGAAATCGAGCCTGTTGCTGACATACATGAACACACCCGCATGCCGGTTACGTTGGGCGAATGCCATCTCCGAGTCCATGTCAGCGTCCGAATTGCCATCCGGATTTCCGTAGAACGGACGGGTGGACTCGTCGTTGAGAATGGTGGCGTTGATCAGATAGCAGTTGCTCACGAACGGCACGTTCCACAGACCCCTGGAGAAACAGACGTTAGTGCGTTAGTGACACGGCAAAGCGGACGAGGGAGAACGCGAGGAGACGCGGCAACAGCAATGACGACGGGACGACGACGACGACGACTGGAGAGCGCAATGTGCGGTGAACGGTGAGCCGACGCGGATGCGTTTGTTTGTCCATGATCGGTAACGTGGTGGTCGTTTCCTAGAGGTCATCGCTTAAGTGTTTTGTAAGGTAGTCAGTGTGGTGCCGCGATTGGCCAATGAGAGAGCATACTTGGCAATGGGTTATGCATAATTATCCAATTGAGATTCATAACTCTGTGACACAGCCAGCGGCTGCGTGGACCCACCGCGCGTGGTCCATTCGTATTTTAGGTGGCAGGATCTAGCGGATTCAATCTCTGGAATATACGCTTTGCGTGTCAGAGGTCAGCGGAGTTGTTCGGATCCTCGGTAAGGACAAGAGGCGCGTCACCTCGACGAACTGCGTCGGGCACGCGCGCATGAACGCGCGTGTCATTACACCGCTGATTGAGCGCGCGTTGGTCGAGCGGGTGAACGAGTCGAACTCATTAATCCCTCTTCATCATCGGATCGTTATCGAATTCTTTCATGCTAGATAGTGAGTATGCGTGTGCGTGTGTGTTACATATATATATATATATACACACATATATATATAATATACACACATATATATATAATATACACACATATATATATAAGGCATCGCTGATGAATTTGGAGCTTATAAGTCTGGAGATCGTGCGTGCACGGTGCTCGCCGAGAGCACCGAGAGAGAGAGAGAGAGAGAGAGAGAGAGAGAGAGAGAGAGAGAGAGAGAGAGAGAGAGAGAGAGACCGAGTGCTTGGGGGCTCGCACGTCAGTTACACCAGTGTTTCATCAAGTTTCTCTCTGCTTATAGATCAAATGACGAGATGCCGAGGCTGTTGTATTTGTTCTTACTAATGGCTCTAATGATGAGCACAGAAGCAGCAAAGGGCGGCGGTAGAGGGGCTGGTAGAGGTCGCGGCCGAGGAACAGTTTACGGCTCGCGAATGCCTATCCTGATACCTCACCGAAATCCTGCCAGTGCGCATTATTACGAGAACAAAGATGTGAGTCCGTCGTTTGTGCGTTTGTGCGCGTTGTGTGCGACTAGACTAAAAGTCAGAAACTGACTTCTGACGACGGCAGCTTTTCCGCAGGGTGCCAAGATCGTGAAGGCGTCTCATTTTGAGCTGGATTACATGCTGGGCAGGAAGATTACGTTCTTCTGCATGGCTACGGGTTTTCCAAGACCGGAGATCACTTGGCTGAAAGACGGGATCGAGCTGTACCATCACAAGTTCTTCCAGGTGAGTCAATCGACCGATCTTAAGAGGAGAGGAGAGCGACCTTTTTCACACCTTACGAAAAGGGTAGAGCGAACGAACACAGTAGACAGCGCGAGAACCGAGGAGAATTCGATATTCGATTCGCAGGTGCACGAATGGCCCGTTGGCAACGACACGATCAAGTCAAAAATGGAGATCGATCCGGCGACGCAGAAAGACGCGGGATACTACGAGTGTCAGGCGGACAATCAGTACGCCGTTGATCGACGAGGCTTCAGAACGGACTACGTCATGATCTCGTATTAAACGCGTTCACCAATTGTAGGCTCTGTGACTACGCGCCAGTACCCAGCACGAGCACCTAGATTTTTATCCGAAGAGCAAACGTGTGACGTTATTATCACTCTCCGTCGTCTTGCAACCCCAATCGCGAAGAGAGAGAGAGAGAGAGAGAGAGAGAGAAGAGATACGCATTCTGAGATTTGAGAAAATTGGCCAAACGGATTCTGCACGCATAATCGACAAGACTGAAGATCAAGCGAGATGCAACGTTTATATTTTGCTGAAATATTCCGCCCGTTTTCTCAACGCGGAGAAACAGAAATTTTTTTCCCCAACATTCGCATCGCGACAAAGTCTGTCGCTCTGTCCGACTACTCTTCGCGCGTTTATCCGATACTCGATAAATTTACATTGTAACGTCGTCAAATAGTTTGCTACAAAAAGATAGTCTTCTTTTAATAAAATATAGCTTCTTTTTCCAACGCACGTCAAACTTGACTGTAATCACTTCCTCGTCGGAAGCGCCGATGAGCCGCGCACGCACATACCAATAACACAATCCGCTGGTTCTCCCCTCCCTCCACGTTCTTATTCGTTGAAGCATAATTGACCGTTATAAGGGTAATACGTTTGTAGCGCGCGAGGAACATATCGAAAATGGTTCATCATGAGTGCGAATTTAACGAGTCAATTGCGTCGTGCCGCGCGAAAGTGGCATGGAAGGATATTAACAATGAGTCGCGGGCGCGGTAAATTGTCTGTAGCGAAATCAATCGTTCGCAATCGGATGCTTCGTTTCGAGCGCGTTTACCTCTGTCCTATACATCGTTCGACACACGTCCTCTCTTTTCTTTCTCACGCGTTGAAACGCGCGAAGATCAATGTACGGGGGGGAGGGGGGGGCGGGCGTGTACCCGTGTATGTATTAACTGATTAACCGATCGGATCGATTAATTAACATTGACTTGGGCTGGCTCTAATGACGGACGGGATGGATTCAGAAATAACTCGAGAACTCGTCGTAAAGTGCGTCGAAGTGAATCAAATCAATCCGGAACGAATAGACACGGACATGGAATTAATGGATAAGCGGTCCGGTAGATTTGATAGAAATGATGACAATGATCACGTCGTATCAAAGAAATAACCAGTGCACGTACGTGCAATGCATATACCCTACGGTGTGTATCTGCATATAAGTCTGTAATAGATACGAGAGGACACTAGGGGAGTAATGAGTCGGTGACTGTCAGTTGCATCGGAGTTCCGTGTGATCGACGAACGTTCCTGCACACAGTGAGTATGCACACGGTGCATTCGCTACGATAAAGCGCAATTCCAGCATCTGTGACAGTGCTCCCCCACCTCCCCCCCTCACCTCTCCGCTAGTTACACCCTTGTAATGATTCGTAATTGCCAAGTATCGATATCAATTCCGATCGACCCTCGGGTCGGGCAGCCGAAATTAGAAAGCAATTTAAATCGATGCGACACTGATCGAACGCGAGAGACGGCTCGACGACTCGACGTATAATGAGACGAAATTGCGTGTGCTAAGGTCGGATTTTGCCTCCACCAGATAATCATGTCACGCTCCATGCTGCTGCTGATCCTGCTGAGTATACTGTTGCTGAACTGTTGCCGAGAGACGTTCGGCCGGAGAGGACGAGGAAGGGGCAGAAGCAAGTCTCGCGTGCAGATTGGATTGCCCATTACCGGGAAATATCGTGATCCAGAGAGCGATCAATATTACAACAACCACAATGTACGTTGAGAAAGGGGAGTGTGTGTGTGTGTGTGTGTGTGTGTGTGCCTAGCGCAAGCGGATAACACTTTGCCGTGCCTCTCGATAACTATGCACCATCTCGGTGTTGGCTCGATCGTCATTCAGTTACCACCGGTCCTTTTGGTCTTTTAGGGTGCCAAGATATTGCTAGCGTCGCATTTCGATCTGGAGTATGTCCTGGGACACAAAATAGCCTTCCTCTGCGTCGCTCGTGGCACTCCGCGACCGCACATCACCTGGTTCAAAGATGGCACCGAGATATACACCCATCTATATCTACACGTCAGTGCTCATTCTCAACATATAGAGCGACGTAGAGAGAGAGAGAGAGAGACAGAGAGAGAGAGAGAGAGAGAGAGAGAGAGAGAGAGAAAGAGAGAGAGAGAGAGAGAGATGATGTGTCTTTGCTTGCTGCCGCGTTTGTGCTTGCTCCACAAGAACAGATATCTGTTATTCGCTCGTTCGCTTGATCGGTAATATCGGCAGCTGCGTGAAAATAATACTCTGCGCTTTTCACACAGATACACGAGTGGCAAGTGGGACCTGACAAGGTGAAATCGAAACTCGAGATCGATCCTGCTACTCAGATGGACGCGGGGGTCTACGAGTGCACGGCGGACAATATGTACAGTATCGATCGCAGGTCTTTCAAGACTGACTTCTCCATCGCTTTCGATTAACGTGAGCGTAACGTACAGATAATTGAGCCGAGGTAGGATGATTAAATTTCTACGATCTGACGAGACTGATCATGAAACTACTACAGTAGGCTCCGAAGAAACGACTTAGAACTTACTCTATGTATCTCACTGTGTAATATGAAAAAAAAAAGAAAAAAAAAGGGGGGAAACTAAATTGTTTGATCTACTCTCCGACATTACGAAATTCTCCTTGACCCTGTGTCAATCAAGTGACGGAGAAATTGCATGATGTTGCATGATGTACAGAACAGCCGCGTGAACAGTCGCCGGCGTCGAATATACATATATGCAGCCGCGGAGCTCTTTCGCGAAGCAAAACGTCTGCGTGCTCGCATTACCTGCGCTCGTTTTTTATAATCTCCATGTAGTCGAAGCTTCGCGCGTAAAATCCGTCGTCCGTAATGGCGCCCCAAAAGTTGCTCCACGCCTTGTACGGCCGAATAAGCAAAGGCGCGACGATTCTTCTCTGTTGCTCCACCAATAACTTCAACGTATGCTCATTGTCCAAGTGTGCGACCGCGTCGACCGAGAAATATCCGGAGCACTTGTTGAACGCACAATGTTTCCTGCGAAACAGGAAACGGTTTCTTAATCTTACTGAAATCTTTGCTCCCTTTGCTCACACCTCTTCGCTCTTCGCTCTGTAACATTATGTATCGCCGCGGGTGAAGAAATTCGGCTCTGCCGAAATGCCGAGTTTGTTGCTGTTACTCACATCGCCAATTTTCTAGCGTGAACTTCGTTGACCCCTTGCTTCACCGATATGTAGTTCACGTCCACATATTCCCGTTTAGCTCTTTCGTAGAAATCCGTCACTACGCCATCGTGATGCGACACGGCGTTATGAATGAACAGATGCAACTTCGACTTCGGATAGGACTGGCGATAGATAGCTTCGAAAAACTCCTCCAAAAACGGCGTAGGTCGCTCGATGAAAAGGGCTATCAAGATGATAGCCGGGTACATCTCCGGCTTGGTCTTGTCCAGCTCGACAGTCTGGTCCCAGCAGGCTAAGCATCCCTCGTCCGGTGTCCAGGCGCGAGCTACGTAATTGCCGAGGGAATTCAAAACCAGTTTGCTATGCCCGTTGCCGTGGAGCACCAGGGGCACCGTATTGTAGACGATGTTTTGAAGATACGCCTCTTCGCCTTTGAACCTGAGCTCCACGTCGGCTGCAAAAATCGTAGTGATGTATCCGTAGTTAAAACACAACCGCCGCGAGCCGCGCGGTTGTGTCCTTTTCTCCGTCCAATTCTCACTTGCTGCTCTCTCACCTACCTACCGCACCGAAGAGATTCTGAAATATATCGGACTTGTGATCCAGCTTTATCCTGTGTCGCGCTCTAAGCTCGTCGTTCAGGTATACATTTGTGTACAACAGCTGATCGTCGTCCTCATCCTCGATGGAAACAGTGTCCAGGATAGCGAGCAAGTCGGTGGCATATCCGATGAAGGATCCGGAATTTAAATATCGCTTGCCCCTCGATACTGCTGGATATTGGCTCGCGAGAGACTTGTCCGGCCAGCAATATCCCTCAGCGGAAAATAAAATCCGAGCGCCGGTATCCAGGAATCTCTCGACTATGGCGGACAGGCCGCCGAGGAATATTACGTCGTAACTGGAAACGCAAGAGACACATACGCATAAGATGATACGACTCTATGTTCCTGCGCTGTAAGTTTTTTTTTATTCCGCAACGTTAGAATATGCGCCAACCTATCGGTGAACAATACGATCTTGTTTTCATCGTCTCGATAATCCTCCAAGGCCTTTCTCAGGAGATTAACTTTGTATCCACCGCCGGGACCGGAAGATACGTTACCGCCCTTCCATGACTCGCCCAGGCCGAGGATCTTCAAGTTATCGCGGAATCCATAGATCTCAGCCGATCTCAAGTACCTTCGGAAGCCATCCGTTTCGTCGGAGGCAACAGTGGCGACCAGGACATCTAAAATATACGGTACAATTAAACACGGATAAAAGAGAGAGAGAGAGAGAGAGAGAGAGAGAGAGAGAGAGAGAGAGAGAGAGAGAGAGTGTGTGTGTGTGTGTGTGTTAATTGTTACGGGGGAGGCGACGCGAGAATTTCGCGTGTTCGTCATTCATTTTTGCAAGATTATTTCCAGCGCACAAAAATTCGCAAGAAAAGTACGAAAAAATTTTCATGTCAAAAGAGAAATTGCATATTCCGGCAATCAGGGCGATTCTGGCGAAGATGAAGCGCCCTTTTTTTAAATTACCGTCGAGATCGTACCGGCGAGAGACCAACTTTTGATCCGACAGTCATAGTTACTCAGATGGTGAAATCGTCAGCATTACGCCGAGCTTGTGATGTCACGTCAAAAAGTAGCGCCCGCGTGAGCCGCGGCACGTTCGCCGGCTACGTTAAACGCGCGAGAAGAGAGGCTGCTCTTGTATTACTGAGCTGTCGATATCCTTACGCAAGCAAGAATATCCGAGATATTCTTAGAACGGGTATACCGAATCCCCATGGAGAGCCAAGAAGCGGAAAAGAGCTTGTGGTACAAGCTCGTACTTGAATCTGATACTCGCGCGACGTTAAAATATTCGGCTTTGTCGAACGGCTTGCGAGAAGATGCGGCGCGCACTTACGAAACAATAAACGTGTATACACACATACACATGTACGTATAATATTGATGATGGAAATGTCAATTTAATAATTATATTTAATTTTTTAGTTAACACAAGTGATTCGTATGAACATTTACATTGTAAGGCGACTATCTCTCCTGAAGAGAATTCACGAGAATACGACACACAATTCACTCGTCCGATGAACAACGCCGGAAATGATGACGATAAGGATCGTGCGTCGGATTACACGACGAAAGAAACAAGGACAAAGTAAATTGGTTCGAGTTTAACGAGCAAAATCGTTACGTCACGCTATATATCACTTGACCATTGGTGAACCTTAAAAGATAAACCTTAGCTTTTTAGTTAGATAGCCCCCGTAAGATGGCCGTCTAATAAATAATTTCCTCGATTGCAAGCATAGCGATTCTTCGAAGACGCGTTTACTCGCGACAAAAAAGTTTTGTTATCAGTTGACCATATAAGATGCAACTTAATAATTAATAATTAGTTATTTTTAAAAGTGTAACAACTTGTTTCACATGATTAATTGTTTCAGCAAAATAAAGCAACACCAATTTTATAATTTTCTTAACGCAGAGTTACAGATCGCTATGCGGACAAGGAAAAGTAAACGTTAAATGACGTATCGCAAGAACAATAATGTTAGTAAAAGTTGCAAATAACAATGTGTAAATAACGCCCTCGCGAGCAAAGTTTATTATTTCAGGCACGTAACACACATCCAACAAGAAAAGAACCTCCTGACTCATCGCCAACCAAACCGGGGTCGACGAACTATGATTTTCGCTGCCACTTTCCCGTTTCAATAAAATGAATAAATAAATATAATAATTTATTATATTAACTCTTTGTAGCGTTTTGTAATTTATAGTTTATCTTTCGAGAAAATCAAAGAGTCGCGCTTATGCGCGAAAATGGGATTCCCCAATTGAACATTTTTACCGTGAGACAACGCGTGAGTGTCCAAAATCTATGAATTCGAAAATAAAAAACAAGATGCACGATATGGCAAGAATATTTTTTAAGATTAACAGCCGATACTTATTTGACATCATTATAAAACAATTCTATTCTAATCAATCCCTATCATAATAAATCATTGTTAAATTATGCGTATACTATTCTTTCTTTACTGAGACACATAATATAAACAGGGTCGAAAGAAATAAAAATTTCGCACATTAGGAATAACTTTTCATAACAATTAGCTAAGACATAAAACCAAGATATCTCTTTTTTTCAACTGGTCTCTAATACAGTATACGCGAATCATTAAAATATCATACGTACGCAGTACAAAGATCATACGTAGTACAAAGATTACAAAAAAAAAGTAAAAAAGAAAAAAAAAGAATCGGGGAAAATTCTTCATATCTATTTCTCTCTCTCTCTCTCTCTCTCTCTCTCTCTTGATCTTTCAGACACTCCTCGAGGCTTGTCGCGAGTTTTCAAGCAAAGGCGCTCAGAGAAATCGAACGTTTCACTGAGGACTCTGTCCTTGTATCGATCTTCACTGCGACATGCCGGCACAGATTTATCCGTCGGCATTTTGATCGAAAGGGCGATCACGCATCATACCATTAGTGTCGGCTGGTGCCTCGCTGACCACATGGTATGTCAGGAAGACGTAGCACCACACGAGCCAGCATCCGATAGTTGTTCCTTTGCTGCCGTACATGTCTCTATCTCTTTCTTTCTTTCTCCCTTTCTCTCCCTCTCTCTCTCTCTCTCTCTCTCTCGCTCTTTCTCCCTCTGTTTCAATCGCAATGACTGACAGACCTACCGCGAGGTCGTGATCCGCGCCGCCGCTCCTCGAAGACGCACAACCGCGTCCGTCACTTGGCGTCGCTTAGCACCGACTGCGCGTTGCAGCCGCGAAAACTGGCGGAAACCGCCGAGCAGAGCCGTAACTAGGAATTATGATGCCCCTACGGTCAATCATTTTCTGTCCTACGAAAACGTAATAGTTAGAGCGACTTTTCTTTTTACAATAAATTTTGCAAATGAAATCTAGTAGTTTAAACAAAATCGTTGAATCTCAATCTTTATCTCTAACCTGATGCTGCTAATATCGGCGATAGTGCCAGCGGGCCATAGATTGTATAATCAAATGTTGATGTGTGTACTATTTTTCTTATGCACACCAAAAATAAGAAAATCGAGTAAATAAAAACTTGACTCAACGAGAGACATCGAGGGAGATGTCTTGTGTCAAAATTATATACCACAGAGATTTATTTTCCAATGAATTTCTTGGTACATTAAATTTATTGTTTTACAAAAATGCCGACTACATAAAGCGACGCTTGTGCCGTAGTCTAGTCACGGCTCTGCCGTCGCGAGAACGGATCTCCAACAAGAGCGAATGAGAATCGGTACCTTCGCGACTCGAGGATCCCGAGGAACACGAGAAATTGATCACTTCTGCCGCGACCACGTCGTCACGGGTAATACGCACTTGCCCTGTCGATGCAGTGAGAAGTATCGTTCGTCGATATTTTATGGCAGGAGGAAGGTCTTCCGAGCAAATCAACATGTCGATAACATTTACAAACTGGGTACATGGGACATCATTTAGATTTGGATGCGATGCCGGTTTCCTTGTAGGTGTTATATAAAAGCATTTCAGGAAGAGAAAGAAAGAGAGAGAGAAAGAAAGAAAGAAAGAAAGAAAGAAAGATACAGACATGAGATTTCGATGCTGCGGTTCAACTGCGATTAATACTATAATCGCGATGTAATTACAAGAGACAAAATACCTGCAATGTCAAAGTCAGATATGTTTGCTTTCCCCGCTGGTTTATACCGCTTGATGACCGCCAATTTAATATCCAATGCATCGTCCTGGCACGAAAGATTGTTCAAAGGCACATAAACGTCATGATTCACCCTTGACTTGCAAGCTTGTTCGTTGCCTGTCGTAAGATGATTTCTGCAGTACAACAGCAAAACTATAGACAGCGCCAATCTTCTCGACAAGTCGCTTTGCATCCTTGCGTCTTCCAACTAAGCGTTATCAGATAACTTATAAGTCTAACAAGCTTATCGGATTGTCGCTTGTTAAAGCCAACTCGCATTTAGAGCACCAATTTATTTTCTGCACAGCGTGGTCAATAGAAATAAGAAGTCTTTTCTGTCCTGTACTCTACTACTGTCACACTATAATTTGTAAATCTGTTTAAATTATATATCAACACCGTCGGTTGAATTATATATTTTCACGCCTCCTTCGATATTCGATCGATTAAAAAGATAAAATAAAATTATACATCGCCTTTCTAACTTCTTCCTTCCTAAGACAGCAACAACACAATGTCCATTGCACCAATTGATCGCCGTTCAATGATTGCACTGAATCACATCGATAAGTATCAGAGATTCGAGCATTTATAGGAGAAAGCGGGAAACTCGAAAGCGAGACGGCCGATGGTTTTTGTGGTCGAAAAGAGCGGCTAGTCGTTATACCGTGTCAATAGCGGTTCTATTATTCTCTTCGATTCCCTGTTCCGTGCGAAAACCTCGTCATCGACTGGTAAAATTTTTGTAATGGAACGTTCCAATGTGGCCTGTCCCGCAAACGTCCGCACATATTAGCGTCCATATTAGCACCGAATCGAATCTCTTTTCCTCTTCTCTCTCCTTTTCATGAAAGAAAAAAATGTCTCAACATTCTCCACATATCAACAATATCGAGTATGTAGGTAATTAAGTTATGTGAACGAGCCGAACTAATGCCCAACAAATCGAGTTAACCAGCGACTTAATACAATTACCGGAGCAACGCGGTAGACGATCCTGAGGCTTCCTCTGTGTATTGTCGGAAATCGGTTGGCAGTTTTCGCATGTCGATCGTCGGGTGGCGTTTGGTTCCCACGTCGTTTCTGGTCTCCGGTGAGACCCAGTGCAGCTCCTAGAACGTGCAAAAATGGGCAAAGACGACGCCGAGACTACAGCCTTGAAGAAGGAACTGGAGTCTCTCATCAGCAAGTGCAAGGTTTGGACGGTTTATCGCAATTAAGCGACGAGTAGAATTCTCAGTAACGCACCTTGTTATTATTATAATCAATGAATGGTAGTAATACTGTATGCAATGAATAGTAGTAAAATTGTGCGATATACGTAAATATATTTGGTTGAAAATTTTATCAGACCTGTTTTGCTCGTTTCACTCGTCTCACTCACTTCGCTTCGTTAGGAAGAGCAAAAGAAACAGCAGGATACAACATTGGAGGAGGCCTGCAGTGGAGTGTCGGATGCTTCGAAAGTTAAGTTGTCAACTAAAAAGTTGCTAAAGGGGCACATCAATAAGGTCAACTCGGTGCACTATAGCGGTGACAGTAGGTCAGTGTTTTACGTAACGTTGGTAACGAGAATTCTCAATTGTCTAGCACTCTTTCTCCTTCATTTCCATCTTGATTATAACGAATCGATTGTTCTCGAAATTGATTGTGTCCGGATAGCACATTTTGTAGAATATTAATAATAAATATTGAAGGGACAGCCGAGATGCGTGCGTCTGATTCGTATTGCGCTTTACCTGTAGACACTGCGTAACTGGATCGCTGGACGGCAAGTTAATTATCTGGGATTCGTGGACCGGCAACAAGGTGCAGGTGATTCCGTTGCGTTCAGCATGGGTGATGTCGGTGGCTTTCGCGCCGTCCGGCAATTTCGTCGCGTGCGGCGGTATGGACAACATGTGCACCGTCTACGATGTCAACAGCCGCGACGCTACGGGATCAGCCAAGATCGTAAGGGAACTGTTGGGTTACGAAGGATTCCTGTCGTCTTGCAGATTCCTCGAAGACAAAAGAATCATCACCGGATCTGGAGACATGAAAATGTATATATTACATAATAATTGCAGCATGATAAAAGAATGGAGAATAAACGGTGTATTCCTTTTTCATAAATAATTCATAAATAATCGATCAACACGCTGCTTATCCAGCTGCATATGGGATCTCGAGGCCAACAAGAAAACTACAGACTTCGAAGCGCATGCGGGCGACGTGGTGAGCATCAGCTTGTCCCCCGATGGCCAAACTTACGTCACCGGCTCGGTCGACAAGACTTGCAAATTGTGGGACTTGCGGGAAGAGAAAGCTAAACAAACGTTCTTCGGTCACGACGCTGATGTAAACTCCGTCTGCGTAAGCCACCGACATCATTCTATTCAGATATTCCGTAGATTTCTTGCGGATTCTCATTACGCTGCTCTCTTAGCTGATGTGTTCTTCCTTATTCTTCACTGTTTTCGTCGTCGCACTCCGTCCCTCCCCCTCTAGTACCACCCCTCGGGGCAAGGTTTCGTAACAGCGTCCGAGGATAAAACGGCGAGACTGTGGGACTTCAGATCCGATCAGCAGTTAGCCACCTTTAAACCGCCCAACTCGAATCCCGGTTTTACATCGTGCGGTTTGTCTCTGAGCGGCAGGTTCATCTTTTGCGGCAGTGACGACAATTCTATTCATATATGGGATACGTTGAAGAATCAACACAATGGTGAGTTGGAACCCACAACGGACACAACAGCAGTTGTAGTTAGTGTGCGAGATGATATTCTATAAAATGATTATATAATTATATGAAATGTTTGTTCTCATTTACTTTATTTCTTTTTTTTTTAAGGTGTTCTGTCAGGCCACGACAACAGAGTAACGTCGCTCTGCGTCGCTGGTAATGGAATGGCAGTGGCTAGTTGCTCCTGGGATCAGTATGTTCGAATTTGGGTTTAAACACGATACACGATTTATGACGTACGAGTGCCGCCTGGAACAATCCATGAGGAACATTGGACAGAATGTGTTACCGAAAATATATCGATGTTAAATTGTCAATTGATTCTTTTTGCATAGTACCCACACACACATAAAGAGAGAGGGAGAGAGAGAGAGAGAGTAGAGAGAGAGAGAGAGAAAGAGAAAGAGAGGGGGGGGGAAGGGGAGAGAGAAAAATCCTTACTGATACAGTTTCCCTTATCGGCGCGAGCCATAGAGACTCCTCTATTTCTTTTTCTTTCTTTTCAAGATCTTCTGCAGATATATGTCTCAATTCGTTAAACGCAAATCTGGTGTTGGCAATGCAAGTTGCATTTGCATCGTTTATTTCTACAACATAGATATTACACGATCCTCTTTCTATCGATGCTGCGAAGAAGAGTGCGTTAAAAAAATTGTTTCGTGTTTCGAGAAATTCATTTGCACGCACTAATGCGGTATTTGGTGATTCGGTACATTGATTAGGTATGAAGCGCGGGCGTCAAAAATACTGTGTTCTCTTCGAATAGATACTGCAAATATGCGGTGTGTATGCATATACATATACATATATAAATACACACACACACACGCACACACACACACACACATATATATATATATATTTATATATATCTATATACGTATACAAAAGTACTTATTTCATATATGTATATAAATAAATAAATAAATATATATATATATGCGTATGTATATATATTTTCTTTTTCCATTTGCTGCCGCGATAAAATAGCTGGTGAGCGTTGCAACCTAGGCCAGTCGCGGTAAATGTGTGGCACGTTACGTTTTTAAAACTTTCAACACATAGACTTGCTAAATAATTTACAGTACGTCACAAACAAAAACGCGTGTCATTGCTGCCCGACAGATCTATATATATAACGAATCTTTTCCTACGCAGAACTTGAATGTATACATCCTCTCATTACACAAATTGGATGAACCAACATAGCTATCACACAATCATCTGTACTGTACACAACGTTAAGGTAACTGAAACCTCGTTTAATGTCTACCACACAAATTGGTATCGTGAAATGATCGCGAATCAGTCGTCTAAAAGCATGCAAGAGGATTTACTTGCCGAGTCTAAGGCAAGTGTACAGCGCCATTTCGACGGAATTGGAACATCGATCCCGAGAGAGTTTTACCGCCAGTCGTGTCAACGTTCAATGCACGTTATATACACACACACACACACACACGCGTGCGCGCACGCACGCACGCACGCACACGCACGCACGCACGCACACACACACACACACACCACACCGCACACACACACGCACGCACGCACGCACACACACACACACACACACACACCCACCCACCCACACACACACACACACACACACACACACACACACACACACACAATCACTCACAGTCACCATCGCGTGCGGTGTACTCTTCTCTTCATGCAGACAGAGACGCGACGTGGAGACGGACTCGCAGCACTTTCATCAACGGACGCGAATTAAAATCCGTCAAGGTGAACGAGCAGAGCGACGATCACCGTGGCCCCGGCTTCCTTGGTGGCCCATTTGCAGGACTCGCAGTGCAGATCGATGCTGTCCTTGTCGCCGGGACTGATCGTATACGAACCTGGCCTTACCAGCAACTGGAACGCGGTCGATACGTTCAGCTTCTTATTCGACTGCGTATCGATATATCTGCAAAAAGATCAGCGTGATGATCCTGGTGGATAAGATCACAGAAAAAAAAATTGCGTAAAAAGAAGAGCGTAAAAAATCACAGACAGTGATTCGGTCCACTTACGGATATTTTCTGGTGAATTCGTCGGATACCGCGTACTTGATACTGGGCGAGAACGACACTTGCGGATTCTGATCCTCGCTCTTTATACTCATCGCCAAATTACTCATGTCTAGTTGCTCTTTGGTCATAAGCTCTCCTCTGTCCAAGATCAATCTGAAAATATACAACAACTGCGTTCAAGACGATCAACGGACCCCTAAGGCGGAGCCTTAGTTAAAGCCGCGCGAAAGCCCCCGCTCGTGTTTCGAGAGATTCGTCCGACCTGATCGCGTCCAAGCGTATGCCGTAGAACGCGACATGCCACTTGTCGGTGGTGCTCTGCGGGATCTGATTGGCATTGATGCACTGCTTCAACGGGAACCTGGCCCAGCCGACCGGTATCGCAAACTCCGCCGGTGGCTCGCCCTTCTTGCAGATCGCGTTATCGCCGTCCACCTTGTAACACGCGCTGCAGTAGCACAAGACCTCGTCGGCGGAGAAGAACTCGTCCGGCAGCACGAGCGACTTCTTCAGCTGCATGCAGGCCTTCAAGTAGTCGCACTTCTTCGACGACGCGACGGACGAGCCGAGCGGAGTGGACGGTAACGACGGCATCAGCGGTATCGAGGGCGCTGTTGTGTTCTGGCTCGGAAATATGTTGCCGATGAAGGAGTTGTCGCGGCTGACGGTGCGCGACCACAGGTAGCCGCCGCCGGCGCCGGCGCCGTCGTTGTTGGGGGGACTGCTCGCGACGGTCATGTTGTTCGGCGGGGCATTCTGGCAGGAGAACGCGCCGCTGTGCGACGTGCTCATGCTCTGCATTTGGTTGCCCGTAGGCGGATTGTTCTGCTGCGCGGTGCTAATGCTACTGACCTGACTATTGGACGCTATGCTTTCGTTAATCGCGTTGTTGGCGTTCGTCGAGGTGATCGCCGCGTTCAGGCTGCTCATGTTGCTGGCGCTGGCGACCATGCCGTTCTTAATGTTAATGTTAGTCGCGTTGTTAATCTCTACATTTGTACATTCGTTCTTAATACTTAAGACGCCGGCGATCGCGCGATTGCCCGCGTCGAGATGCGACTCGCTCGAGTTGTTCCCGGCGTTGTCCGAATACCGAGTCGTTTTGTTCTTGTCGCTGCGCGTATCGTTGCTCAGCTCCGAGCCCGAGTCCGAGTTGTTGCTGTCGCAGACGCTCGACGCCGGCTTGTTCTCCGTGCTGTTGTCCGTGAGGTTCGCGTTGCTGTAGGCCGAGTACTCGGCGAGATTGCCGTCTTTGGTGGCCGAGGCGTACTGGCTCGGCCCGCTCGGCGACGTAGAGGACGGAGAGAGATCCGACGAAGTGGTCGGCATCGCGTTCTCTTTCTCGTGGCACTCCAGGTCGGCCTTCTCCCGCGAATTCTCCACGTCCTCCGCCTCCGCGGCGCTTCCACACTCCGCGGGAGCCGCGAGCGCGTTGTCGACGGCGACGTTTGCGTAAGCAGACTCCTCGTCGACTGCCGCGATGGACACCTGCTCGCACTGACCGTACAGATCGAACACCGCATAAACGTACGCCGGTAAGTCGGTCGCGGCCACTCCTTGATCCGCGCCGTTTACGAACAGGTGAAGCCGGCTGTCCTCGTCGATTAGTAAGCCCACGACAGAGTTGCACTGAAGGTTCTCCAAGCCGCTACCGTACTTGGTCTTTACTCGCATGCCGTTATGGGATATCCAGTCGCTGCAAATGATCCACGAGTGTCTCTTGAAGCCGAGCGCGGTCAACGGGAAGCTCGTAGCCTTCTCCGGCGAGATGCAGGACACGCCGCAAAGGATACTCGATACCCAACGTTCGTTCAGCCTCTCTATCCTCACCTGGAACGGCTTGCCCTTTATCAGCGGTCGGCTGGACATCACCACGCCCTGATTGTAACTGGCTACCCTTCTGGCGATCGTCTTCGTCTCCAGCTGGATGTTTCTGCCGTGATTCTCGTGGAACTCGTAGCTCCAATCGCCGTCGACAAGCGGGACGACAGCGGACGGCTGTGTGGGCGTGAGCGTCGCTTCGTTGATCAATTTGCCCTCGGACGTGTCCATCGACGTGTCCATCCCCGCGTCGTTCCTCAGCACAGGTGGCATCGGGTCCAGTAGTAGTTCCAGCGAATCTTGCAGTCGAAGACTAGCGTTCGGTGATATCGCAGTGTTTTGCTGCTTGCTGCTGGTGATGTTCACCGCCACGGTGCTACCGAAGAGCTCGATCGCCGCGTACACCATCTCCGGCACGTTGGACGCCGCCACGCCCATATCCTCGCTGTTGACGTAGAACTTGAGGTTACCCTCGTGCGTACGCTTCATGCCGATCTTATCGCCGACCCGCAACCAGTCCAGGCTCGGGCAGTAGTTGGAGGCTAACACGAAACCGGTGTGCCTCACCTCGTTGCCGGTCAAGTACCAGGCGTCATTCGGAATGGACGTCATGCCGGGCACGAGGTTCATCGACGTCAGCCAGTTCCCCGTCTCGTTGCTCAAGACACCTATCCTCAAACAACCGCTCCACTCGCGCGCGACCTCCTGTATCGCGATCTCGAACATTTCGTTATTCTCGAGCGCAGTCTCGCTCAGCAGCACGGCGTTGTTGTACTCCCTACATCTAGTCGCCACCGTTCTATCGCTATTTAATTGTATATTTAGTCCAACCGACTCGTGAAACTTGTGCAATGTCTCCGTTTGCGCCTGAGGTTGAATGACCGAAGTCGGCTGTTGACTAGTACTGTTCTCCGATGGCAAGTATTGTTGCGTGAGCGGATCTCTGCGCTCCGGCAACACTATCGTCACCTGCAATACACAATACAATTCGAATCAATGAGCAGGCTGAGACCAGAGACGGGTTCCTCTCTCTCGTCGTCGTCGTCGTCGTCGTCAGACAGACGACGGTATACCTGAGCGCATTGACCATACAGATCGATCACTGGGTAAACGTTTGCCGGTAGACCCGTGCAAGCGGCGCCCTGGTCCACCCCGTCCAGGTAATAATGTAAACTAGAGTCTGAACACCGCATCATCCCGATACGATTCCCCTCCACCAATTTGTCCAGATCGCAGGTATAATTATGCCGTAACGTCACTCCGTCACGCATTACCGTCGATCCGGATAGCATCCACGTATCGTGATCGATGTCCGTCATTGTAGACGGAAACTCCAATTCATCTGGCCTTATCACAGTAACACCTGTGAACCGAAATAGACGGTCGCAACGATTGTCGCATGGTTATTAAAGATCTCCATTCTTTTCGATACACATCGCGATAACGGCTTCGTATCGTTACCTGCTTCGATAGCTCCGGACCATCTAGCGACCATCTTATCTATCGTCACTTCGAACAATTCACCGTCGCGTAGCGCGCGGTTGGCGATCACGATGGCTTCGTTAAATTCGCCCAGAGCTCGTGGTCTGGATGCCGTCAGGCCGTTGTTCGTGATTCTCGCATTTCTACCGTGGACGTGATGGAACCGCAGATCACTGTCAACAGGTCAACACGATTGTTGTCTGCGCTCGAGTCGACGACAAGATCATAAACGGTCGAATCGTCTGGAATTTGCACCTGTACAACGTCGTGTTGCTGAAGCTTGAATTATTGGTGGTTGGACTGTAAAAATCCACATTGTCGACTATCGTAGCTTGAGCAGCCTGCCCGTAGAGGTCGATCACGCCGTACACTTTCTCGGGCACACCCATCGCAGCCACTCCCTGATCGGCGCCGTTCACAAAGAAATGCAACATTGCGGTGTCCTTCCTCATTACCCCTACGCGATCGCCGACCTGCAGGCGATCCAGATTTTGTCCGTATTGATCTATCATGGTGGTGCCGTTGTGCATCACACCGTTTCCCGTCATCATCCACGTGCCAGATCTGCAAACATATGGACCTATGAGCGACAACGGACGGATAAAAGGCACGGATTAATGCTTCGTGTTAACAGCTTCGTGTAAGACTGCGTATGAAATCAGATACTTTAAAAAAAAATCGCACGCTTCTCTAATTTACCTGACATTGGTCATGGTGAAAGGGAACTCCAGTTCTGTCGGCGAATGCGTTGTAACACCAATCTCGATGGAACCGGCCCACTTTGTGACGATTTTATCCAATCTGACTTCAAACAACTCGTTGGGCTTCAACGGTCTCGAAGTTAATACGACGCCGTTGTTGAAATCGTCTATAGCGCTGTAAGAGGAGTTGTATACTTGATCGCGGAATATAATCTTTGGGATTCGTTTTAGATGTAAGAAACATCATATCTCGACTCATACTTAGGCCTGTGCGCTGTACGTCCATTGTTGATCACGTCGGCATGTGTACCACAACAGGTATGAAACATTAATCTATCGGGTGGTTCTTCTTCTCCAACATCTGTGGAAGTGTTTAAATATCAATGCTGCTGACATGTTTCGATCTAAGACTCGATATAAGACTGTATGCGAAAAAATATACATGTGTGAAAAAATATACGTGATATTGAATGTACTTGACGGTTCGTATTTGTGACAATCAAGTGATTCGAACAAGCAGATTAGAACATTTCTTTGATGTCTTCAATAAGAAGATTATAATGTAAGAATATATTGTTTTACCTTGAAATCTTTTAACAAGAAAATATCTGTCGTTGTAAGAAGAAATTACGATGCATTAAATGTTCACAGAAAAAAAAAAAAAAAAAAGAAACTGAGAAAATTCATCGAAAATTGCGGAACAAACGGCGGATATTAAAATGTAAATATTTCTTCAAGCAATATTACATTTACATTTCTATAATCTTCGTTGGAATTAGATAATAAATTTTCATTCAAGTTAGACGAGAAAGTGTATGTATGTACAAGCGTGTTTAAAAGAGAAGGAAAAACTTGAAATGATCATTTCAACGGGACACTTCAACTCTCTATTGTCGCGAGTGTCGAAAAATTGTGTAGAAGTGCAATGCCCAATTTGTGCGACACTCCGCGATGTTTTACCTTCACTATCTAGACCCTGCAACTGCAGTGTATTTCTCCTAGTAACTAGGTTCTGTTCTTCCCTTTCGTCACGATCGACGATAGTTACTTTCACAGTCATTCCATAAAGATCAATCACACCCCACACTGCCGCGGGTACTTTAGCAGCGATTCCTTGATCCAGACCGTTTATTAAATAGTGAAGATTCCCATTACTCCGTCTTATCATCCCTACTCGGTCTCCTTCCTAATAACAAAGATATAACAAAGATAACGGAAGAAGAAGAGCAAAAAGAAAAAAGGAGAAAAGGGCTAAAATAGTTTTTCGCATTGTACCCTCAACTCGTCCAAGTTAAATTCTCCGTATTCGCGTTGCGTGCCTTTGCCATTTGTTAAAATACCACAACCGGACATCATCGTCGTGCCGGAGCGCATATTGGTCATCGTGGCTGGAAACTCCAACGCCGTAGGACTATGAGTGGTGACACCGACTTCTATGCTTCCCGACCATTTGTAAACTAGCCTGTCTATTCGTATCTATAGCAATTTTAAATTCTCGCAATATACATAGACCAACCTAATGATAGTGCATTTTGCAATCGATATTGAACCATACACAACGCAACGAGTGCTTACCTCAAACAGTTCGTTATCTCGCAAGGGCCTGTGAGTCATTACAACACCATTGTTGAACTCATCGAGCGGCCTCCGCCTCTCGGCAGTTCTAGCGTTATTGGACAGCTTAACCAACGATCCGACTCTCTCATGAAACTTCAACCTGTCTTCCCTTATAGCGGCAGGACTTGGATTCTTCGGTAAATTAACATTCACATTGACACTTAAATTAACGTTTAAATTAGCGACTAGATTTGTTGTCGAGGAACTGGAAGTTTCCCCTATAGCATGGTCATTGTTAATCTCGACTTCTTCTTTTGGTTCATTAGGCAGAGTGGGAAGTCTGGGGTGTGTGACACTGACTTGCACACAATCACCATACATATCGATAACAGCAAAGATACGTTCTGGAACATTGCTGATTGCGATGCCTTGCGAAACACCATTGATGTAGAATACCAACTCATGCTGTAATTATAGATAAAAATTATTCCCAATTTCTATCTGGGTAACAAAGACAAACTAGTAAATTATAATTATATATTACGTTGGATGTTCGCATTACTCCCAAAGTATTTCCTTCCTCAAGATCGTTAAGATCCATTCCATACATCTCCAGAATTCGATCTCCATCACAAAATATACCAGATCCAGTCATGATCCAAGATCCATGACGGAGATTCATCGCACAGGATGGCAGTTCTATGGTTTCCGGATCGCATTCTACTACTCCGATTTCTATGCTGCCGCTCCATGATATCATCTGCACAAGACAGAAATAGATAAATATAATCTGCCATTAAAAGGAAATAGATATTCTCCGTATACCAATATAATATCAAATCATGTATTTAACACATAAATATTACATGTTACATACACAGTTGTATTCATTCTTTCATATAACACATACTTGCAACTGTTCTGTTACATTCCACAAAACAGTTAAATCAAATGTCACAAATACAAGCCTTTAAGCTTGTACTATGCAAGATGTGAAAATCTTATCAATGATGAGATATTGTGCATCGAACAAAAATCTTACAAATTTTCTATACTATTTTATATCGCCCATTCCTCACATAGATTTAGTACCTACCACGGGTTATTCTGTGTTTAACAAACATTAAACAAATCTTGAATGTAACAAACTCAATTTGTGCACTGTGAGATTAAAGATAAATAATATACAGGGTGTTCATTTAGTGACAACCAACGTCACACGTGTGCACGATATCTCGTACTGTAAATAGTTTCACTCGACGGAGAGAAGTTTCTTCGGGAATGTTATTCAAAGGAACAGGAATCGGTTTATAAAGACGGATATAGAGACAGGGGGGGGGAGAGAGAGAGAGAAAGAGAGAGAGAGAAAAAGAGAGAGAGAGAGAGAGAGAGAGAAAGAAAGAGAGAGAGAGAGAAAGAGAGAGAGAGGGAAAGAGAGGAAACAGACACATGGTGCATCCATTATCTAGAGGAAAGGGTGCACACGCGGAAGTACCGAGGGCGCGAGAGCGTCTCTCGAGGGAGGTGCATACCTTCTTGTCGATGGTGACTTCAAACAGCACGTCATCCTTGAGCGGCTCGGCGCTAAACACCAAGCCATAATTGTACTCGGAGAAGTTGCGCGTGGCGGTGCGGTTGTTGTTGGTGAGGGTGACGCGATGGCCGCATCGCCGGTGAAACATGTCGTACACCGCGTTGTTACACCGTGTTGTCGCGGGACCGTCGTCGCACAGCACACCGCAACGCATCGCCACCCTCCGCCGCCCACCGTCACCTCGTGCACGCGCAGCTTCATAGGCCTGTGTGCGTCCGCTCGTTTTACCTGCACCTCTTGCACTTTCCGCATTCGAAATGCGACAGCTACGAGTCCGCGGACCTTGAAGGGAGAAGGGAACGAAGAGATAGATAGTAGAAGGAAAGAGAGCGTGACTTTCTTTCTCTCTCTCTCTCTCTCTCTCTCTCTCTCTCTCTGTCTCTCTGTCTCTCTCGCGTTTCCAAGTCGCAAGTAACAAGAACGGTGACGATAGAGGAGGCACCGTCTGTCGTCTGTTTGGAGTTTGACAGCTGGAGTTTGGCGATAAGGCGAATACGAACACTCGCGCCACACGCGTGTTGCGCTCAAATCGCGCTAATCATTCTCTTCCTCGACAACTATGTAAAAATCAACGTTGTGTTGTTCCGTGATATCTTACAGATGGTCGTGTTTGCAAAATCATTGTATCACAACATTTTTGTCTCTATTCTTTCTTCGGCAATATCGACTAGTTTGAAGTATGCGAATATTAAAATTGCGAAATAACACAATGCTGACAAAACTGACTAACGCAGTGAAAATGGCCATATTGGCTATTTCAAGTTTTTATACATCATGAATTAAAAATTTTTAATTTGAATTTAAAAAGAAAACTGCAGCGTCATCTGCCGATCTGTCGAGGAAGCATTATGTGTATAAGACGATTGCCATCAATGTAGCTATTGTGGTAACTACTGAAAAAATGTTGTTACAGAGACTGTACACACAAGTTGGTTAAATTTAATAGAATTAACATTAATTATTTATAGCATCTTTTTCTATTGTAGCAGCTGAAGGTGCTCCGCTACTGTAGCTATCTTGAATTCGAAAAGACGCAACTTGAAACCAAGGCAAACATCAATTTTGAAAAAAGAAAGAGAATAATATATACATATATATATATATATATATATATATATATATAAGCAAAGAATGATTCGTAAAGAATATTATGTATTTTGACCGATGAACCTTGTTTCATCAGAGATTATGCGTTCTTGCTCGCAAAAACTCGTTTAAAGTATCAGGAAATCAAAAGACGTTGAAATTAATGAATTAATTATGAAGTTGAAAGGAAGAGACTGCCGCAAATCTCCGTATTACCGTATTTTGATGTTAAAAAAATTGTTTAACATAAAAAGTTACGCTTGTGTTCAAGCTCGTGCGAGGAAGTCAGATACTAACATTTATCATCCTTTCCTACTTCTCAAACAAAACACCACGAGTTGCGAACTAAAAATTCATCATCGATTGTCTCATGCTATATGTACTTATGCTATACAGAGATATCGAAACAGAAAGTTTCACAAACTTTCTAAAGATGCAATAGTTGATAAAGATTTGTTGTGTATTATCAAGGTGTGAACCGAAGGTTGCCGAGGATAAATTAAATCAGATGGTCGAATCTCAACTCAAGGATGTCTCAAATGAGGGTAGAGAGAGAGAGAGAGAGAGAGAGAGAGAGAGAGAAGGGTAGACAGAAAAATTTGGAGTTTGCTAAATTAAGTTTGTATATAGTATTCACGATTTACATCGCCAATTTATATCACTCTTTCTTTTCGTTTTCATCAGTAATCCGTTCGTCTGTGCTTTTACGACTCGCACGTACCGTCGTCCATTTGCGCGAGATTTGCTGCAGTCTCTCCCTTTCAAATTCATAATTAATTCATTAATTTCAATGGCTTTGACTTCCTGATACTTTAAATGAGTTTTTGCGAGCAAGAACGCATAATCTCCGATGAAATAAGGTTCATCGGTCAAGCGTGACACCTTGAAAGTCGGGCGAAGAATCTTTCTGTTATCGGACGATACGTCATACTTTGTATCATCAAGAACTTTGTATCATGCACAAACACAAATGACCAGGCCGGAATCTGCTTACTGCACAGGGGCGCAGTAGAAGAGTAATCGACAAACCAACCGGACTTTGAACGGTCAAAGATTGAATCGGTATGGCACACAGGAGGAAGCCTCCTTCTTCATACATGCGAGAATCGGTTATCGTGCAGACAAGTCTCTGTCGTCCTGCTGCGAGGAACGTTTCAACGACGATCGTGCTAACAATAAGAGAGATCGAGAGTGACCGCGAAGATCGCGCAGGAACGAAGAACGTCTACTAGTCTGAGAACAGCGAGGGACAGATCGAAGATGTCTTTCGAAATTGAGACAAATCCACCGCGACCTGAATTTATGGCTGTGGCCGTAAAAGAACTCAGGGAGACCGAGGAAAACGTGAAGGAAGGCATCGAGACTCTGAAGAAGTTACTCGAAGGTAAAGCCACACCACCGTCTCACTATATGTCAACTTTATTAGTCTTGTTAAAAGAGTGACAGAGGCCGATGTGAGGCTTTATCGGAAAAAAAAGAAAAAAGAGATAGAGATTTTGTTAGTTTTAATGTTTGTTTAATGACATTGACAAATTTGATCTCTCTTTCGCAAATACGCGTTCTATTGCTGTAGATTATTACAAATTCCCTCGCACGAGCTTTATTCAGTATCGACGCTAACTGACTTTTTTTACCGGTAATATCCGGCCGTATAATCGCGATATTTTTCCGTTATTATATTTATAATTTAATATACGTAACGTGATTCTCAACTCGTATGCTGAAATCATCTCATATTTCTCGAGTGTGATTAAAATGTAGCTTGAGCGTCAGTGCGTCGTTTAATTCGCGACAAATTTCATTCCGGAAAATAAAATTTCGTTATCGCGATATGTAATCTTTTGAACTCTGGAGCATTGATTGACGTAGCGCTGAATCGTTCGTTTTGAAAACGATAAAATAATGCGGCTTATATTGGACCCGTACTACACCAAAATTCGTATGTCTGAAATGATATAATAGAGGCGCTCCTTATGCATCTCGAAAAACTCTGAATAAATTTGACTGCATAACAAACAGCGAGGCAACATATTATTCGGTGAAGTACAAAATTTATCACGATAAGCCACAGTTGGACTACTTGTATTGTATATGAAACGACTGATGTGTGAGTTATTGATACTAGGTTGATTTCTTTCTGGCCTTAAAATGTTATCACTGGACTTTGCGGGTGTTTGTATAACAACTATATATATTTCAGCGATAATAAGAGAAAAATCATAATCATAATAGATTAAAGCACTAACTGACCGAACAAAAAGAAAAGAGATGACACTTTATCGCACAGATATGAAAAGTGCAATTGTAAGTATTTGCGCAGACACACATTCTAAAGCGGAAAGACGGAATTGCATGTTTTTTATACTTGTATGATGAGACACTTTTTCATTTTCAATCCACTTTTTTTAATATATATATATATATATATATATATATATATATCTATCGCGTGTGCAAATTTTTTTAATGCAACAATATTTATCGTTTACAAATGTTGGCCAGTGCGAGACATAATCTCTCTTGAAAAAATGGGCCAACTCGATGATCCGTTTGATCCATCTGTTTGACCAATCTGGTAAATGAAAAATGTAAACGCGTGCCCTAATATTCACGCTCTACAGTTAATTTGGTAGAAACCGCTTGAGCGACACAGTAGTGACGAAATTAGTGATGCATTGGTAGATAATGTCGAGGTCACTTTGTGACAGCCTGATAATACTTTTCGCTTTCCTCCATCCGCTTATCTCTCCTCAATGGTGCCGTTGATGTATGAAAGAGAAAAGGCCCACTTCTCTTTCTTAGTCTCGTTTATATTGAAATCGACGATTCTTAAACCTTAAGCCTTGACTAGATCAGAGACGTAGTTCAAAACATCGTCACGTTTTATTTAAACTCACAGCATCTTGAAGTGTTTCAAAGATTAAAATCTATAAGATTGTGTGTATGTGTATGTGTAGATGTGGTGAATCACATCACAAAGGTAATATGGAGAAACACAAAGAAAGTCGAAAGACGAAAACATTTTCGCGTCTTTCGCGAACGCAACGCACTTCGCGTTTTAGTTTTATAACGATATTTTTCAATCGGCAAAACATTCAAGGCACTCTGATATAATCTTTATATAACATAATGACATACGAGTTGCCACGTAACATTCAATATGTGTGCTATACGTAAAACTTTTCCATAAGACCTTTTTGTAAGAAGATATTGAAATAGTTTTTATCTTTTGTCAATAATTCACGAAGATGTTGCAAGGTGACATTAAGATAATATAAAATTATCGATAACATATCGATGCATGAATCAAGCGATATCCTCAAGCAAACCTTGGCCTGCGAACGCAAAAAAAAATCGAAAGTGAGATACACCTATTGTTTACTGTGTTCGAATATACCGTTAATTAAACGATAAGTCGCTTCTCTTCGAAATATCTTCGCGGTTTCTTGAGAGATACATCCCGAAATGGCATCATCGAGATGCGAACGTTAAATTGTCAAGGAAACAAGAGCGACAAACATGTTATTTTTATCGTTCAATGTGCTTGGCGCGATGATACAATTATAAAGATTCCAATTGACGCAAATCCCGGCGATAAGCCAAGCACGCTGTCAAGTTTATTCGACCATTCATACCATTTTACAATTGTCACTATAATAAATATAATTAAACGTGCTGCAAATTTTTCGCCTGTCGCTCATTTAACTTCGTGAACATCCTGGGGATCCTCTTCTGGTTTTCTCTTCTGACCTTCCATTTATCCCTTGCGATCCAACATTCACGCGCAGTTGCGACAATGACTCGCATAGACGACATGTGTCTACTTTGCTCCGAATATGAGCAATGAGGAACCGTCGTGATCTCCTTGTATCTACCTAATAAGAAGCACCGAGGCGATTTCATGGAGAACGGAAATCTTGTCTTGCACGCGAGACAAGGTCACGCTTGTCTTACATCAGCTGCGTTTGCGCAACATCAGAACCGATAAAGAAACCACGCGTCTTTGGATTTGACGAGGCTTTTGAACATAAACACACACACACACACACACACACACACACACACACACACACACATATATATATATGTTATATATATTATAATTAGCCACGCACCTTAATCGAGAGACGCATTTCGAGATAATGAGCGAACGATGCAAAGTCCAATGATCGTATCAAATAATAGCAACAACCACCTGGCGATGAGTCAGTATAACTCATTGTTGGATAAACAAATACCACAGTGTACATCTCATGCACACATGAAGCGTGCATGACGACATGGAAGATGTCGCAGTAACGTGTGAGAAAAATTGCACAAACCGCTTACCAACCGCTTGATCATTCGACGTGCAAACAGATTTTCACGGAAATTGCCATTTTGCAAAATGAAACTGATAGAACACGTGAGGCGGTACGAAGACGGGTCTTTTTGAAAGCGACGTTTCCGCACTCGGATTGCCGAGTAACCGTAGGTATAAGACGTGAACTTTGGCTGAAGAACCAATCAGAATGTTACTTTAGGTTTGTATTTTCTAGAAGAATATATAAAACTAACGATGTGTAAATCTGATTGCAAGTAAAAGTATCTAGGATTGGTGTGATTGAAATCCTGGTCACTTAGTTTGAATTCTGTAGTTGTACGTTTACATCTTTCATCTTCTTCCAAATATAAGAGCAGAGCTAGAACTTGAACCAAACAATATGGTCCTGATTGGTTCTTCAGCTAATGTTTACGTCTTGTGCCCACAATTTTGGTACGAGTAATTTATGCGCGTTTGGTACGACTTTATAAGCATCGATGTGATTGTATTAATGTCGCAAAACTCTCTTTTCAGCGGAGGAGGATCTCTACTACAGCACCGACGAAGAGTTACTCATAAAATTCCTACGGCCATGCAAATTCTATCCGCAAAGTGCACTGGAACTTATGCGAAGAGTCGCACACTTCAAGGAGAAGCACCATGCCCTGTTGTACAATCTGATGCCGAATGACGAAAAAGAAGCCTTCTTGAATCACAACATCGTAAACGTCTTGAACTACAGAGATCACAAGAACCGTAGAATACTGCTGGTAAATTGCGGCAAACCTTGGGACCCATCCAAAGTCACGGCTGATCAGATGTTTCGGGTCTTCTACATCATCCATCAGCTGGCCGCGCTGGAACCGGAAACGCAGGTGATTATCGACCGAATTAAGCGTTACATCGCGTACGCGTCCATTTGCTGATGTCGTATTCAACAATTGTTAATCCCTCGAAAGAGACTTCATACATGCACAGTACAAATCGTATTTATTTATATAAACATCGTTGCTACATACACTTTTATTCGATCGTTGAAGCGTTCTCTTCCAAATTCTCTTTCTTCACGAATCTTTGAGTGTCACACACAAATCACGACACACCGCAAGGCTTGCTACGTACACCGCTTACCAATTAGTAAGAGCAACGATGTGTTACGTATGTACAATAACCAACCTACAATCAGCTCACAATTCAATTAGTTTGATTACATAAACTAAATGTCACCGGAAAGGATAAGTAAATGAATGTTGGACGCGCGATGAGATTATGTAATTATCCGTGTCTATCTGCAGAGAATTAAGCGAGCATCGGTTTTATCTTAAATTGATTGACACCGATGTGAAGATACGAACGATATTGACGCGAATAATCGATTAATGAGCCTCTTGGTGAGCCCGATATAGATGAAAAATAAAAACGCCAAATATATATATATATATATATATTTGGCCGATGCTAATGGAAATCAATCTTATTGTTAAATCGCATCGTACATACACTCTCTGTCGGATATATTTATACCTACCTACCTACCTGCTTCTTTGAAATTTACACTATCACTCCAACGGTGGAGCTCTTATCGACCTTTCGTTATCTCCCTGATTCCGGATACCATCAGAATCCTTGAGAAATATATTTCCTACTTTTCAAGTGTAGCCTGTCAAATCATGTGCTTATATAAGTATGTTTTCTCTAACAGATATGCGGCTCTGTAGTGATAATGGACTTTGACGGGCTGTCAATGAAGCAAGTAATGGGTCTATCTCCATCTTTTAGCATGACGCTTCTCAGTTTCATTCAGGACGCGATGCCGTTGCGCCTGAAAGAGGTTCGTGCAAAATTACATCCGCACATCGTATTTCACGAGTCAAATCAAAATGGTTGATACAACGTGGAATATCGAATATATCATACATGAATGTGTGCACACGCTCCCTCATTTCACCTGTTAATTGTCGTACATGCGATTATCTGCTAGGTTCACATCGTGAAGCAACCGTTCCTGTTCAACATGGTGTGGCAAATGTTCAAGCCATTCGTCAAGGAGAAGCTGAAGAAGCGTATGTTCTTCCACGGTACCAAGATGTCCTCCCTTCACTCTCACATCCCTCCGAGTCACCTGCCGAAAAATTACGACGGTCAATTGCCGCAAATAAATTACAGCAGTGCTGACTGGTACCCGTCGATGATCCAACACGAGCATGCGATTCAGGGTGAGCTAAGTCGATAAGTGTTATCAGTAGATTCGTCAGTCACACGCCATTGTTTCTCAACCGACCCGAGCGAAATCGGTCGATGTCTCTAGAAATTGAATCCTGATAAGCAATTGGTGCTGTACCGGTTGCATCATTTCTCATGACCCGATGTACTTTTACGAGATACAAGAAACAAGAAACAACTACGCTCGCTGCAGACGTATTGTGTGCAGACGTGTAATAAATAATTACAGACTTTTTGGGTAGAAAGAAACGATTATGTTTCTATGTCGTTGTAATTTTATGAAACAACGTGACAAGAGATGGCGGAGGAAGAAGAAGAGGAAGCAGAAGATGGTAGAAAATCACGTAGACCAAAACGCTGTTTTATAAAAAATACGACAACATGATGATGATGATAATAATAATAATAATAATACGATTGTTTCCTTTGACCTGAAAGATCTGAAATTATCTATTGCAGAACTTAATATTTTCCAAAGATTTAAAGATATTTGCACGCACGAGTTACTCGCTAGCATGTTTGCGTCTACATTGTCTGCATTTTTTTATATCTTTAATACAGACGTATTCTCGAAGATTGGAAATTATCAAGCGGATGAACAGTCTCATGTATGTCGACTATAATTTCGAAACTTTGCGTTGTTATCGTGCGTTTTTATCGCTCAACTAGTTGTACGACATCTGATATGAGAATTTTGTGATTATAATGTGATTATAATGATGAAACATTTCTTTCTTTCTAGAATGGAACACGTATGGACTTCGTAAGAAATAAGTCAAATGTTGTCCATTGGGCACATCGTCGTCGTCGTCGTTGTCGTCGAGTCACACAATCGTGGTGAAGTTAAGGATTAATTTGCACAATTTATCGGGCATTGAACTTTGGACGTCGGAAGGATCCATTGTGTATTATATAATGTAATAGTATATAAAGTAAAATGTATTTATGTACATAATACATGTTATATATATATAATATTCTTCATAACCAAACTGTATGTGTGCATATTTGAATAATTTTGATTCTCGTCGCATGACTACACGACTACACTCCAACGATCGTTATCGTGAGGGAGAACGTTATCGTGAGAAAATGGAATTGAAATCACGCTCACTGTGTCGTGGCCTCCGCGCCTCGAATGAGGCCGGCTGTAATTTTGGGTTCGTTTGTAGCCTCAGGGATTAGAATCCCGAGCGAAGGTCGGATCCAGGCGAGAGAGAAGTAGTCGGTCGTAGACTAAAAGAAGATGGCGTTTATTCGTTCCTTCTTACACTTACTTGCGCTTACGTTCTAGCGTGGAATAACGGACCTGTGGTGCGATTCTTTAACTCGTTATTGGAGTTAACGACAGTTTCGTTACCTCTAATAACGAGTTAAAGAGTCGCACCACTGGACTTATACGTTAACTATCGAGACGCTCAGTTCTCGGTTCAATCTTCTCTCTGCTTTTCCCTTTCGGCTTCATTCTTACATGGCCTGGTGCCTTCGGTATATGACTGATACAATAACCTAGTTTCGTGATCTTAATCAGCAGAGTTCCAAATTTAAGTATTACTTTAAGTATTAATTTAAGTATTAATTAAGTATTAATTAAGTATTAATTAAGTATTAATTTAAGTATTACAAATACTTCATGTCGTTAGCACTTTTATATTGAATTGTGTATCGCGCGCCGACTAACTGCTACGTAAGAAGGAACAATTAGGGCGCGGTTATAACAACAAACTGTACGAAAACTGGCTCGTCCGATTTTTACACATTTGATGGGAGTTTCGTACAGAGAATATCAACCGAAAGGCACTGACGCATGCTTCGACAGCTATTTGAAGCACCATTGAATTATTCGAGGTGAATACATTTGCGAGAAATATCATATATTATTGGAGTTGATTTGCAGACAGCTATTTTTATTCATACGTTATAACGTATAGAACTCTGCTTGACGATGACTGCGTCACAATATTGAGACTTACGTTCCTGTTCGATTGTAATTTTAATCGTGAGGCAAAAAATAATATGCTCAATAATACGAGACAAATTGCTACATTAATGTAGAACTTTTGCATAAAAGTTTCACTGCGTAACACATAGACGATTAATTCAGAGTAAGATAACTCCCGTATCGTATATTACACAGACAATGTAACCATCTTCCGGTTCGAAAGTACAACTGCATTTAAATTGGAAAACGTTATAAAGGCCCAGACCTCTATCAATATGCAACCGTTCGCATATACCAGTGCTACGAACGAACTAGAGATTAAATGTTTTGTACGACAGACACATTACTTCAACAGCTTATCTTGCTGTGATAAATTTAGTTTTCAGAGTTAAAATTTCATTGATAGCTGCATCAAATTTTACTTTCGACAAAAGCGGCCTGTCATTGTCCCCAAATACCTTTACACTTTATGGACAGGATATTTCAAGACTATCTCAAATAAGCTCCAATTCTTTCTAATTAAATTATTCTCGCTGGTTGGGTTTCCGTGTTCCCGTTTCCGGGTTTGGCCGGCGTCGACACATCTTGCAAAACAATTACAATTTTGTTGTATTTTTGTGATCATCAATGTCGCACTACTTACGCAATATTACTTACGCAATATGTATATCGAATGCCGCCATCTTCCACAGGAAACCGCAAGTTTCGCAACATCATTCTCGTGTACAAGTGGGGAGAATCACTGCATTCGAATGATGTTCGAACGATACCCTTTCAAAGGCACACTTTGCCGCCGCTTCAATAAGAACATCCGTCTCGCGCGCACGACTCGCACATTTATTAACCTTTCCAGGTAGTAGTCTTCCCACTTTTGCCTAGTCAACATGGTCATTATCGCGTCATTCGTAGTTCAAACCTGATCGAATCAAGAGAGAAAAAGAAGAAAATAAATCGGCAATTCACGTTCCGCGTTCCATCTCAATCGATCGTCGGTATGTTGTTCAAGCGATAAAATATATATTCGACGATATTGTCAATAATAACATGATAAATACACGGTTCAGTGATACGGATATTTAATTGTCGTGACAATTGTTTGGGAAGTAGCTGAGAGTCCGCGCGACTTTGGGGATTCAAAGGTACCTCCGGTAACCTCGTTAGGCGTCAATCCCGATGAGCATTAACGTGCATATCGTGCGCTTCTTGACAAAATCGTGTTATATTCTAATCATGTGGCCGCCTCCATCGACGTATAAATATCTGGATGAATGGAACATTCCGTGAGATAAGGATTCTAATCAGCAGCAATAAGGGATGAATTACGGTAATCGAGACTTTTACGTCGCATTTTCTCCGCATATATTTGATATATTTTACACTAACTCACGATGAACCGTGACATTTGCCACCGACTAAAATACCATCCTGAGAGGATTTGCTACGGCAATTTATTTATCAACGCGTTGTAAGATGTACACAAACGAAGTAAGTACGTATGAAGTAAGTCGAATGACTCGAAATACCGTAATTTCTCCTTTCCGCAAACGCGAACATATATCCTCTCCCACGTTTAAATCAACAATATATACTCCGACCGAAGATATTCTTGCATCGACGCGTGCCATTGTTATGTGTACGTGCGACTTAACACACTCGCTACCAGAAAACCACATACTTGTATAACGCACTGACTTCTCATCAAAGTGACCAACGTCACATGGGTATGTGCGTGCGTGTGTATATGCGCGTGACAAAGGCAATTCTTTCTTTATACCCACGTGAATAAATTAAATTCGGTTTACATAATTATATAAAAGAAAGAAAGGTATAGGATGATCCGTGGAGGAAATTCCCGAATAAAACGTAGTGGAAAATGTGTTAATTTCCTTTATTCTGGTCCAAATATGTTTTCTACTTATTATTTTCTTCTATTTTTGCGTTTTAGAAATTGAATTGTGACTTGTCGCGTCTGGGAAAAAGTATAAGAAAGTGCGACTCGATCAGCGAAGCTTCACTGATCATCATTGGCTGAGTGTTTATAAACCGTTTACGATTCTTCGTTTGAATTTATAAAGTTTCGATTCAACGAAGCATGATTCGAACCAAGTGTCCGTTGTTATGAAATTACGCTGTTCTGTTTCTACGCCACTGACAGTAATCATAATCCATCCATCCGGTTTCAATATTTATGATGCTCTTTTTTACCATTATTCTTAATTATTCATGATCGATATTTATAGCTGAGTTCGAAGAAAATTGCAAGGTATAATAAATATGGATTTTCTAATGATCGAAAATTACCAAGCGTTATTAACTAATACACTTATTCATTTCTTTCACTACTTTCAAAGTAATATGTACGTATATGTGTTTAATTATAAAATATGATGGTAATAACTTGTAATGTTTATAAGATATGTTCCTTGCTTACTCACACACACACACACACACACACACACACACATATAGGGATAAAGAATTTTACAACGCAAATGTTATTATGCTTGATTGCGCTGAGACTGTTTATCCAATAGGACATTTTACGCATATCATTTACAGTCAGTCAGTCACGGAAGTCCTACATCCGAGCACACATTCATTTCTGCGGCCAAGTGGCGAAGTCTCGACGGAGACAAAATTGGATACGGGATTGCTTAGTAATCACTTCGTAGATTATCAACGTGCTTAAATTCCGCTCTTAAAATTAAAACCGTTCAAACTTACGTCGGATTTTATCAGTGTATAAAAGTGTCGTGACGCGTAATAGAGTTGCGAATTATTTCCTTTCGCACACTCATTCAACCTGGACAATTCTAGCTTAACGTTGTTTTACAGATACAAGCTGCATTACGATTAAATGGATACGATATCTTCAATGGATACCATGACGGAGGAGGAGGAGGTGTTGCAAATATTAGAAAAAGGAAGTATAAAAGAACATCTCTCACAACGATTAAAAAACGCACCACAGGTTATGTTAAGTGGACATAGAATCACCATTGAGATAGAAGAGCTCGATGAGTTTTATATACAGAAAGCCAAGGAGGAACTACGAGAAACGCCGGAGATAGTTGCTCAGAGTATCAAAGAGTTGAAGGAACTGATTGCAGGTATTAGAAAAATTCACATTTGTATTTTATTGTACGGACGTAGGGCAACTCGGACGGATTTTAATTCTCTATCGTCGAAAAGTTGAAAAAAAAGGTCTCAATCGGTTAGCGGAATTTGCCGCAAACCGGTTCTTCGGCATGACGAAATATTAGGAATTTATCCGCTGGATGTCCTTGACAATAATTCCTTTCTTATTTTATGGCGACTATTTTTCACGTGACACAGACGAAGAATAAAATAACTAAAGGGACAAATTTTTCTCTTTTCCTTGGAAACGTAAAAACAAAAAAAAAAGGAAGAAAAGAAAACAATACGAAGAAAATATTCTGGAGGTTTCTCGTTAAAACTTACTTCGGTCTAATTGAAGAAATATGCGACACTATTATGATTTTTTATTAAACGAATAACAGAATATTATCAGGTTACGTATTTGAAAACTAAAGAAGAAAATAAGATGTAAGATTTGTGAGAAGACAAGAGGTCGTGTGTCAAGTAGAGAGGAAGACTTTCCCCTTTTATGTAATAAACGCATAGTGCACTTACTGTAACGTGTTACTTACAAAGGTGAATCCGTGTGTATCACACAGTGTCGTTGTAAAGAATTACAAAAGTAGCAGGGTATAAGACTGTCCATCTCTCTGTCTTTTATCGATTTTATCCAGAAATATCGGTGGATGACGGATCGCGAACGGCGTCACACACACACACACACACACACAGGATGTAGTTTCGCCGCTGCGTTTAGACGGTTCGCGACGTTAGGGAAGTGTTGGTTTAATGATGGTAAAAGTACCAAACGCGATAGGCGGTGGGGAGGGGAGGGGGAGGGGGGAGCGTGCGAATTCAGTCACGCTTACGCGAGCCAAGTGAAAACGAAAGTTGCGCCGCGATGACCTCGCGAACGGAGTCACGTTTTTTGCCTTTGAGCAATTCGAATGAAAGTGATATCCTGTCGAAAAACGAGATGTTTGACAATTGACAATAACATATAATTGGCAATTGTCAACAGTATCAGAACGCTATATCTTATACATTACATAATAAATACCCAAACGTGTCCTTGGAACACCCACCAGTCTATGCGACGAAAAAGAAGGCTTAATTAAGTCTGTATTCTTTGTCTTTTTCATCAGGAGAAATCAATGTACGTATCACCGATACCGACGAGTTCTATACCATTTTCTTACGTTGCTGCAAGTGGCATGCGCAAAAAGCTTTCTCACTCGTAAGTCGAAACTTCTTTCGGAACCAATACAATCAAGTCTATTCCGTAGACATCACAGGTTGACGAATATTCAGACTGTATCGACTGTACTTGTTAATCCCACTGCCGTTATCTCTCTTGCCGTGTTATCGGAAAATGTCTTGAAGCGAGATGTCCCGGTTTCAATATAAATTCTATAGCTGATTTCTGCGCCTCAAGCCATGCTCTCGGATATATTTTCACATATTTTCCAACAGATGAAGGCAATCTGCCTCTTCCGTCAGAATTATCCCCATATTTGTACCAATCTAAAACCGAGCAGACAAAAAGAAGCGCTTTGCTCTGGCTTAATATATCCGATGCCACTTCGCAACCAAGACGGATCTAGGATTTTCGTAATAGAGATAGGAAAACGGTGGAAACCAAAGCAGATTTCATTAGATCAGATATTTATAGGATTGTTACTTTGCACAGCCGCAGCGACGATGGAACCAAAAACACAGGTCTGAAATTAAAAATTATACATTAGTATTAATTTATATATATATATATATATATATATATATATATACATATATATATTTTTTTCTCATTTATAAATAAGCTCTTTTGAGATCAATTTTAAATTCGTTAATTTCACTTTTGATTTGCTTCAATTTGACTTGATTCGATTGATTTTCAGGTCGCTGGTGGGCATGTCATCATAGATCTGGAAGGTCTTTCTCTGAGTCAAGTGTCGTATTTTAGTCCGAGTTTCGCTAAAATGGTGACAGATTTTATACAAACGGCTTTACCTTGCCGTCTCAAATCTATCAACATCGTGAATCAATCGTTTCTCTTCAATGTGGTATTCGCATTATTCAAACCGTTCTTACAGGTGTGATTTTACAAAAGTATATATTTATTTACTAGGCTTATCCATTTTCTATAAATTAACGATATGAATTTTCTATGATGATGCATCATTTCTACACTGAGAGAAAAGTATACGGAACTATAATGATATAGTAACTAAATTATTAGTCCGAAATATCATGTTTATAGTAAGTATTACCATAATATCGGTAATAATTACGATATAGGCATAGTATAACCAACCATATAATATTCTTACTAAGAATTATAGTAAGTTAAACTAAAATTATTGTATGGTTACAAATATAAAATGGTAGGTAAAGTAACTCTTTTAAATAGTCAATGTTATCAGAATATTTGCCAAATGATGACAGATGTAACTATATGAATATTAAATTTCACTATATTTGTGAATGAGAAATTACCATATATGTGGCAAAAGTAACTAAACAATGATTTAAGACAATCACTGACTATAAATTTGTGTTTATTCTACTATATTTTGCAGGTTCCTATAACTATAAACTATGGAACTATGGAACTATAAAAATATGGTCGATGACAGAATGAACTATAAAATATAATGAGATTATAGTTAATTCAACTATATCTTTCTATCAGTGTAGTGAATACCTCTCTGTGAAACCACTCAATATCTCACTATATGTATTATATATACATATTTATATTATTGTGTGTTGCAGGAGAAGTTGCGCAAACGAATCCACTTCCATGGCACGAATAGGCAATCTTTAATGGCTTATGTAGATAAGAGCGCATTACTTAAGAAACATGGCGGCGAGTTGGACGCGACAGATGATTCGTTTGGCGTGAATCTATGGCAGCTTTTTTGCACATTTGATTCTTTTTTCATAAGTTTGTATTAAAATGATTTGTTGGTTTTTGTTGGTAAACAAAAACATGGCGATTTAAATCATAATAATCTGTGTGTTTCAGTTCTGAATCATTTAGGATACATAAATAAAGTATGACCGCTGCTCAAGTCAAGTAATTATCGTTGGTGATTGTGTTTATCATCAGCCACCGTGCGTATAGGAAAACAAAAAGAGAAAACATTGTTCAAACCGTCTAAAAAGACACACGATTATCACCATCATTATTTGGATATTTGAAATGTCCACATCGAGAGATGGCGAATTGTCGTTTCTGTCGAGTCAAAGTTAAAGATAATCCGCTAGAATAGAAGTAAAATTCAGATTTAAATAAGGATAAATGCAATAAATAAATATATGTGTGTTGCTCCTACCTAACCTATAGGTCGTTAAACAAGACATCAATTTTATCTACATCAGTGTTTTTAGTTATTAAATACATGTATATTAAAGCGTTAATTACTATTTATTTTGACACATGTCTATTTCTATATCAAGGTGATCACCAGTCATACAATTATTTAAGTACATAAACCGTATATATATATATACGATTTAAAATAAATAGTAAAAATATCGCATTGAGCCACAATGACAGCAACGTCGCATTACGGTGTCATCAATACGCAAAGAGATACTTCGAAGAAGGAAAATAATTTCTTATTGACAACAATTTCTTATTACAACATTATTCTAAAACATTGGCACTCGGTACTTATAGAATACGCGATACTTTCATCACATAGTCGTAAAGGCAAGAGAGTGCCGAATTCCGGATGACATCACCGACACTTGACGAGTAGTGATTTCCGTGATGCCAAAGTTAGAAGAAGAAAAGTTCGAAAACGACGCGATTGTATTTCATAATAGTACTTTTTCCATGTGATTTTACAAATCTGACGACAAAGATGCCGTTGAGAGATTGTCACAGAGAGAGAGAGAGAGAGAGAGAGAGAGAGAGAGAGAGAGAGAGAGAGAGAGAGAGATTGACACTAGATTGACATGTCGCATAGGATAGTATTGTCCGATTGTTTCCATATTGCTCAAATCCAACCACCTCTACTATATCCCCTAATCCCGTCGTGAGAGAAAAACTACTTTTTCTTGTAGCCGTACGAATCGATAGCTGCAACAGAAACAGAATATTCATTACACCGGACTGTGAGTGTTAGACGTCTTGTTGAGATGCATCGCATTGCAAGAAATTTCCAAATTCTACTTCTGAATTTCTATCACGATCTAATGTGTGACGTAGTTTAGCTTTCTACTTACTCTCGTATTCCTTGTCGAATTGCACCAATAGGTTGTACCATATTACTCCATCTACCCTTGGGAGTTCTTGAGTACCGCCGTAACACGAGGCCAAACATTTTGGCGAAATGTATTGGTGCAGCGATTTCCGGTCGGTGCCGTGGAAAATAATCTAGTGGAAAAGACGAAGGTACCATTCAATCGTTTTACAAGAAAAGAGAAAGAAAGATTACACACGCCACAACCACACAAACGCACACTCACCCTGTTCTTCAGCTTCTCCCGCAGAAAAGGCTTGAACAGAGCGAACACCATGTTGAACACGTACGGCTGATTCACAATGTGTATATTCTTTATTCTCAAAGGCATCGCATCCTGAAGCAGATCGACTATCCTCTTGGCGAATGGCGGCGTGAATTGCCACGTTTGCTGCAGACTAAGACCGTCCATATCGAAGATGACGATAGCGCCAGCAATCTGTGTGGTCGGCTCGAGCATGGCGGCTTCCAAGAACAAGACGCAACCTTTGTAGACTTCATCCAGGCTGACCTTGTTGTGCTTCCATTTCTTGCCGAGCTCGATTATCAATATACGCCGGCCGTGCTGATCGCGATTCGGCTTCACCGTCAAAATATTTTGCTCGAAGATGTTACACTCCTTGCTCGGCTTCAAGCCACTGTAGATATTTGCATGCTTCAACTTGAAACTGTAGTACTGCTTGATGAGATCGCGCGCCGACTCGGGATAGTACTTGCACGGCCTCAGGAACCTGATCAGCCAGGGTTCGTTCTCGTACGGACATTTAAGATCTGTCTCGGCTGTGTGACAATGAAGGATTCTTTTTTTTAACTACGTTCTTAAACACCTGAGTAGAGAGGAAGATTAAAAGGGAGATCGAAATCTCCTGAAAGAGCTTCTAAAAAGAGTGTCTCCCGAAAGAAAGGCTCTCTTTAGAAGACATCTCTCGGAAAGTACAAAGACTTTCTCTCTCTCTCTCTCTCTCTCTCTCTCTCTCTCTCTCTCTCTCTCTCTCTCTCTCTCTCAGGTGTCAAAAAGACGATATCCTTTGCGAATGTGTTTACTTGAGACTTTGTATCTTCACATATTTTATACCGTTTGCAAGTGTTTTGCTTCAGATTTTATTTACTGCTCCTTTTGCAATGTGTATCTCTGTGAGAGATACACATTGCAAAACTTGTCTCTTAAAGGAAACGTTACCTTGCAACAATTCTCTCAGGCGTGCCATCGCCTCGTTCTGCACCTCCGGAGTTTCTCGAAGCTCCTTCCTGGCTACCTCTTGCAATTCAGCGCTAGGTTCGTCCAACTCCAACTGTAGAACATAATCCCCGACTTGTATGCTCCCTGTTTCCTTGATGCCTGACAGCATAATTGACTCTGAAAGGAACGCAATCGTGCAAATCGTTGCAAATTCTTTGTCGTATATATCAATAATAAATGATATTATGATTTCTCTGACTTTCTACTCTCGACTTTTCTGCGGCGAATGTTTGCCTTTGTTTCTGCCAAACCACAAGGTGAACTCTTAATGATGATGTAAGCAACAAATTTTGCCTCACATATATCGATTTAATGTAAACGGATACAAGAGTAACCATATTGTAGCATTCTATACTACGGCAGACACATATACTTGTTAAAGCCTGTCGTAAACAGAAAACATCCATAATGAATGAAAAGAAAGTGGACTCGTGTTCAAGTGAGATTTTTTCATCAACAGATAAAGAGACTTACAGCGAATAGAATATAAAAAAAGTTTAATCACTCACCCATCTCTAAGTAAAAAACGCTGTGTGTATATTTTAATTTCCACGCACTCCTTCAACCTTGGCGCGCAAGTGCACAATAGATAATAGATATTTTATTTTATTATCTAGTTTCTCATTTGACTCGAAACACACGCCGCTGTAAAGTCGACACAGCGCGTGAGCACAAAGTACACATTTCAACGTCGAGCGTACATATAGAACTTCAGAAACGACTTTAAGCTTCAAGAAGAATCGAGCGACGGTTAAACCGACCGATTGAGTAAACCGACGAAAGAGGCGACTTTACTTGTCACGCGAGCTATCGCTAAGTGATATATTGCAGATTTGGTGAGTAATGATGCAATTGAATCAACAAGGCCGCGTCTTGAGAATCTTCGACTGTGCGTTACGTTCACACACGTTCACAGGCAATTAGTTGGAAACGTGATTCAGCTGTATTATCACGAATTAGTCACTCGACAGCTGCAGAATTATACCGAGTCCCTGGTGAGTTTAATCATTCGCTTTCGTATTCTTCCGCCGTAGGCGGAACTCTATACTAACCATCTATCGATCATCGATCGCTCCGAGCTTCCTTATTCCTTCAACGTAAGCTTGTCGATATATTTGTGGGATCATCGGGATAGATTTCAAACACACGGTGTGTGGGATCATCCTAGTTGATAAAGCTGAATTCGATACAATACGGCAGATGTGCCGTGAACGTGTGTTGTTTATAGAAAAAAAAGTGAAGGAAGATGAAAAAATTTTTATCGTTTATCCGTCGATCGTAGGAGAACGCTCGAGAAGGTCGTGTTTTATCGTTCGACAAGAAATAATTAAACGTACTTGTAAACGCCGATGTTTTATGCAAGTGTAGCGGCTACATGCCAACGATGACTGTAATGACTGCAACATGTATCTTCGACCCGCGTTCTCGATCGCGAGAGCGCGATCCTTCCTTACCACAGGACAGTGAGACAGGAGGTGAGAGTTTGGACGCGCGTGAAACAAGTTGCGACAGATAAGGCGAGACATGTTTAAAGAAGTTATTGTTATTATCTGACAACGACAGGCACTCAGGCATTCGACGCAAGTAGCGTCGCGCGATTATAACGTTGCCGTTTTCGATCGATGATGCCGTGCACGCGGTGTGAATCGAAACGATCGTCCAGCGCGAATCAGCGTTACGCTCGATCTTCTACGAATCTTCGATCTTTCGGCAGATTCGCTCACGCAGCTCGCTGCTTTCTACACTTCCTCCGGAGCATTCTCGAAGGCGGTCGCGTAAAATTGACAACAAAAAATTGACAACCGCGAATGCTCATTCCGATATCTTAACGTAAATGTCGTGCTCTTGGAAGAGCTTAAACTTACCAAATATATGTCAGCAGCAAGTTTGTAACTTGGCGATCGCGAAAACCTTAGAGCCAGCAATATGCGCGCCAAAGGATGAGAAGAGATGTGTGTGTGTGTATATATATATATATATATGTATGTATGTTTGTGTACATACACAAATAGCAGTGGCAACACGTAGCGACATACAGCAGTGCAAGACACGTAGCAGTTTGCACACTTTGGTGTGCGACGCTTGGTACACTGATATCGTTGCTTCGAACGAGGTTACAGTTGGTTACAGGCGTTTGGTTATCAGCCGGCATGTGACTCGGTTACCATATTCTGAACAAGCGTGTGGCGTGTGGGGTAATAAGAAATGTTTTATTTTAAACGCGTTTTCAAGGATGGATGACCTTGAATTTATGATGAAAATGACAAGTACACGCGTGTGAACTTGACTTCTTTTTGCACTGTCGCATGCACACGGATTCATTCACATTTAAATCTTCGACTAATTGGAAGAAAATCAATGCATCGCGTGCTCGCATACAGCAACAGCGTGCGATAACGCGTTACAGTAGAGTGCGAATAAAGCGACAAACGCGTTTAAACGCGCAACGCGTATGTTTGAACTCGTTGCATGCTGCGATAATATATAGTGTCTACGTTCTCTGGAACCTGGATAATCATCAGCGTGGCGGGATAAATCCGTCGATGGTGCGAGATCGATCTTTTGCCGCCCGTGTGACGCGCGACGGCGTATCGCGGCTCGCACGTGGGCTTGCGGGGGATCTTCTTGACCATGCATCGTGACTCGACGGCCAAAATTACGAAAGTCCTTTTACACTACGAATCGATGCTAGGAAACTGCCGATCGCACGAGCGCCGATGTCGCGCGTTGCACAAGATGATGCGTTGCACGTCGCGATTACATGCATATCGAGAATATGGTTATTATGGTACTTGTCGGCCCCTCCTCGCTCGCCTCTCGCCTCTCCGACACATGCGACATCAATTACGTAAAAATGATTAATAAGGGAGGAGACGGAAGGAAGAAAGGGACTTCTCCTAGTCACTGGAGCGTGTTCCGTGGATTCATCTGACGTAATCATGTTTCCCTGCTCGCCACTCCTCCGATCGAATGCTGATTCGATAATCATTTGAATGTTAATACAAATTGTGCGACCACATGGGACACAACCTTTTCATCGTGCGTCTGACTGATTTCGGACTAACAATTATTTTAATGTATGAAATATTGGTGTATACAACGGATAGTATGTATGATCGGTCCATAATATCCACAGTCGAATAGATCGTCACCACGCCAATCGCTCGCCAAGTCAACAAGTAATACAAAAAAAGTAAGACGGTTCGTGACAGATCGTAGCATCTTAAAACAACCGCATATAACGTTAAACGTTTGTCGTCGCCACCCGGATGCTTCCTTTCACCGTTTCGCGCTCTTTCGCGGCGGCGAAAGCACTTGGCTGCTCTCTATTCTACTTTCGAGTCGGCCTGTCGATTGTTGACTTCGGCGAACAACTGGCAGCCGACCAAAACACTCCCTCCTCGCGTTTGTGAAAAGCGCGTGCATTTGCTACGAGCGGTGCTGCTTGCGAGTAAATTGGCGATTTCTGTTGACGCGTTGACGCGCGCCGTCGCGTTCCATCATGATCTCGAGACTGCTACAACTACGACTACTACAACGTCCGTTCAAAGTGTGTGGATGAGGGGAAAACGATCTCAAGGAAGGAAGTTCTGCAAAGGTGCTCCGACGGATTAATTTGAAAGTTTAATGTTACTTATAGAAAATCACTTTGCTCTCATACATGATAAAACTTCAACGCAGCAGCTTGAAAGAATGATCCTAGACTGATTGATGGACATTTTAATTTTAACACACCCACTCGGCGGACGATGGAGAATGGAGGAGAACGTGATGAAATTCCGCTGCTCAGTATGACTAAATAAATACGAGGAATTCTGGGCGTACGTGGGCGCGATATCACTATCGGACGAGAGCAGGAAAGAAGACTCCGAGCTGGATCCCAGATTTATCATTCGACATTCATAACTTTACGGACGAGACAGCTTCCCCGACGATCGGTCGAAAGTTCGCAACTCGCGTCTGCGACGAATTGTGATCGCATGGAGCATGTCTGCGATTATCTTCGTGAAATAAGGATGTGCCGTGAGCGGCGCGTCAAATATTTTTTTGCGACGCACGACTCGACGCAAAACGCGTCGCCGTCGGTCTACAAAAAATGAAATATTAATCATTTCGCTCGAAGCGCTTTAAGCGCGTGACAAACTTTGACAAATTTTATTTTTTACAAGCGACACATCCCCCCTCGCGCACCAATCTCTGTCGATTCCCAAGAGCCGACTATTGAAATTGATTAAATCTATTAATGTCAAACGCATCCGCAGCAGCGCTACAGCGAACAAGTGAAAATCTCACTTTCTGGAACTACTAGTGGCGAACCAAGTGGCAGACGGTTCTCATCTTGGACACAATATCGTATTTTGCATACGACGGACTCACCTTGACAAAACTTCTGTACGTCACGCTCTCCGAAACTCCAAGATCGTAAGCAGAGTCAGTACTGTACTCGGGAATAATTATACTCGCAATAATATCCCGTTGTCTTCTGCGTCAACTTTCACGTCAAGAGGGGACGGGGGGAGGGGAGGGGAGGGGAGGGGGGGCAAACAATCGCGATGTCTTGTACATCCTACGTCAAATACGATCCAATTTCGATTAGAAACCGACACGTACCGCGTCGAAGAAAATTGAGACGAGAGGAGCAAACAATGGTTCTGACAGTTGAGAAAAAAGTTATTATTAAGTGTATTACTGCTTTTTCTTCGTTTTCGAAAACACAGTACAGTATAGACTTCTTTAACCTACCTACCTTTTTATTCCTCTTCTTACGTAGTAGTCGTATAATCTTTGGAATACATATATCTACGTATGCACCAGAAGACGCAGGTTATCTTAGTTTTCCCCCCCTTGGCAAACTTGATTGGCGTCCTTGTTAAGCTTCACGAGGCAAAACAAATGTTAAATTGCTCGGCAAAAGAGTCCACAGAGGATGCGGAAAATCTTGCGGACACCTTGCGTGTATACACGTCAACGTCGTCATTACGACGTTTATCGAGGAAAAAATTCATATTTTTTTACGAATCTTAATTTCGACGAGATATAACCTTGGGGCTGTTCGTCAAAGACACATCGCCTACGATGTTTCATCCGTGTCACGGCCACGAAGAAATTGCTTCGCGGAGTCAAAACCCGTTTTGAGCGCAGTTTGCCTTTTGAAGCAGGTATCAAATGCACTAAATATAACTTTACCGTACATTTCTGCGAACGGAGGGAACTGAGCATATTTTTGTGATCCTAACTCTCGGAAATGATTTCGACTCACCACGGTAGAGCGAGTAAGTATTAAAAATTTGATTATTAACACAATGAATTACTTGAAATTACGCTATCTTCAAGGTACTTTCAAGGGTCATTTTGAAGAAATTGAATTTCAGAGATATCGATTGAATAGATGTTAAGTTTCGTTTTGTTCTACCTCGTAAATTTCAACACAGAAGAGGAGGAAGACAAGAAGACAGAAATCTCCCATTGATCGAATGTGTCGATTTCTATCACCATTGTACAACGCACAAAGTATCTCCTAAGACGAGACGAAACAAAACCAGAAAATAGTAGCACACAAAACAAAGTTTTGCAAAATGAGACTATGATCTAGTTTACCTCAGATTCTCCCTATTTGATAGAGTTTGATCTATTGAGATTAGTTACTCATAAATACACGTATAAATGTAACGCAACGCCCGATTTATTACTCTTTGTATTAGCGCATTCTCTTATACACCCATAATCTACCCATAACCTTATAATCTACAGTCAAATCTGATTCTCAACAAAATCTGCGTACATACATGTACAGACGCGCATGTGTGTGCGCGCCTGAGATGGCGATTGGATAAAGAGATTTTAGCTATTTGTTGAATTTTAATTCGCCGTAGATGGAATCCGGAGAAGAAGGCAATCGAAAACCTGTCGGGTTTGCCAAGATAAGGAATTTTGTATGTCCGTTAGAGAGACCTCTCGACGGAAAGTCCTCTCTGAAGAAAACGGCAAGCTGTGGGTTTATGATAGAGAGACGTCTTGTTAACGGTTCGCAACGCGGAATTATACCGCTCCAATAACTCATTCGCTGCGGAACGCTCCACTGCGTCAAATAGATCTCGCGGATAGCAATATTTCATGGCTGAAGGATTTCGCGGAAAAATCGCCGTTTGTACGTCGCGTCTTCTCATCGAAAGCTGCTTACGGGCATATTTATTGTCTCTGAGTCATATGCGTAATTGCGTAATGATCTCGGTGAAATACTTTTCTTTTATCAGAATATAACACGTCCCAAAATATGCAAGAGAACATTATGTTATGGTATATCATGAAAAAGCGTCCTGAAAAAAATATTATTGATGATGACATGCACAATCTGTATTTCTTCGGGCGTCTCTGACATAAAAACGAAAGTCATTTCTTTTTTGTGAGTCTTCTAATTGCGAAAGATATAATACGAACAGTATGCGATTATTGCGCGAGCACGTCATGCCCCGCAAGCTGCAAAAAAGCATAACACGACCTTGTAAAGATATCGCGCGTGTTGAAGTTGCGAAAACATAGCAGTTTTTATTGCAGCTATTTTATCGTTTCATTCAATACATAAATAAATATATATATATATATATATATATGGCTTGGTCGCTTATGTGACACATGTTACGGCGGAAGTTCTTGCGGACTTGCAAATGCGAGAAACAGCTACAATCCAAGATTACGGAAACGTGTAATCAATATCGATCGTAAAGTAATACCGAGGAGTCGCCTTTAATTTCTCAGCCATTGTTCGTTAAGCTATTTTGACGCTTATTCAATTTGAACAGGTCTGATACTGTTATAATCGCTTGGAGCACGGTCGACTTTTTCAACCGTGAAAGGTATCTTTCTGAAGATCTCCCAACGGAACCCAACGTTTGTGTGCTACTTAACGGATTATATCGTCGCGAGTATATTCCAATATACGATCGTGGTACAACGAGGATTGATTCTGAGACGTGTAAAAGGAGGGACACACTGGGTCACACCACGCACTCGCTGGACATCGAGCGACAGAAGCAAAGATATACAAGATATTTCAGCTACCTTACGCACCCTCGCTCCGACTCGAACGTACGTAGAAAGTTGATGTGTAACGGTAACGCGACTCATTTAGCTCCGTTCAGGTATTTTTTGCAACAGCTAATCCTAACCTCGGCTCGGTCGATGTCGATTTCGACGCGCGGTCACGCTTTACCGATTTATGACATTGTCTCACTCATTACACGTGACACGACGTCACAATAATAAACCGCTTGCACAGCGAAAGCAAAACACTACGACGTGTCTCGTGTAAACAATCCGCAGCAATCAGTTTCCTTTTTTCTTTCTCTCTAAACATAGCTTAGACGTGTAATTTTCTCACTCGTTCGATCCTACGTGTGACACCCAGCAAAATTGTCAAGTCACACAAAGTCATGTCATATGGAGTGAACTGTGTTGAGAAAATAATTTAATACTCACTATTGCTCGGTGCCATGATACACACGCACACACACACACACACACACAGTGTCACAGATTAGACGCGCGCACTTCGAAAGTCAAACTTCAAGAATACACACGTGTGTACGTGTGACACGCGGCTTAATTGAGAACGGCTTGTCGCCTGACTATAAAGACGACGCGAGCAGCACTGAAAAACGGCCGAATATGCCGCCGTTACCACGCCGATATCCGTTCTTATAGCGTAGTGCCGTAGTCTTCGGGGGTCACAGGAAGGTGGTAGCAGCAGCCGTTATTTTCCACGAGCGCACGACCATTCATTCCATCATCGCACGCGATCACGACTGACGTATCATTTTATTGTCTCGCTTTCGATCTCTGTATTATCATGTAAGCAAAACAATAGCGACACGGTAATGATAGTGATAAAAAATTTTACGAAATGGATGACACTGAGACGGTTTTAATTAATCGAACACGTGATCCAAGCAAAAATCCTCGGAGAAGCGTGTCGCGCGACTACTCGCGCTATAAATATTTAATTTACGTTCGTTAATATGCATCAATCTCGATTCAATGTTAATTATCGTATCGTGCGAAATTCCCACGTTGTCTGAACGTTCGCGACAAGATCATCCGTTTTCGTGTTTCAATCAGCGGTTTGAGAAAAATTCGAGAAAAATTCGATTCAAATGAATAGACGCGTACAGTTCAAAAGAGAGAGCTCAAAGAGATTCTCCTGCAGAAAGTATCCGAAAAGCATTGGGCATGCGTTGTTCTATCCAACAAAGTAACAGGGTTCTACAGAAATCTTCATATTTATTGAAAACATTACCTTTTGAGATCCTACGGTGTGTTCGCCGCAATCGGAGCGGAGCTGTGGACAACGAGAGAGGAGGACAACCAACTGAGGAGGAGCGACTGCAACGATTAACCTGGTACTCATGTGCTGGCGTGTTCTCACCGTGCTGCGAGATGAAACGGCAATATTAATGCGAGGACTACAAACGTATTCCTACGTGGCACTGTTTAAATACGTCTATTCTTGATCTTTAACCCGTGCTAATGTCCGTTGCAATTGTAATTATTTTCTTTTTCTCTTCACCGCTTCTACACTCACGTGTTTCACACTGATGTGCTCGCGCACTTGGATATGCAAATGGATCTGCAATGCAAGTGGATGGATAGATACGATTTTTAGGGAAATGATTCAAATAGAAAAGATTCGAGTGAAAAGATGTCACAAAGCTGTCACAGGTCAGCTGTCTTCGCTACTACTGAGATTTATGGGTACCTCATAAAAATTCAGTATGTAAAGCACTGTGCGAGTGGAACGCGATACGTTCCAGATTTTATCGTCGCACAAATGAACCATCGTCGCAATCGTTGCTGGTAGTGTCTAGATTGTCGACAGTAATTGCCGATAGTAATCATATATCATTAAATAAATATTATTATACATCAAATGTTTCTTGAATTAACGCGCTGATAAGATAACGTTATACCACCGAATTAGTTCCGGTACTGTGCAGCACTGTGGAGATCACCGATGAGATACTAGTAAATGTGTGTTGCTTATAAAACATTTAATTAATCAACACATGAAGATTACTTTCTTACTCATGCGACGAGCCTTCTTCCTTGTCTTCATAGTTCTTTTTATGGTTACTGACAGCGCGAACTGCCTCGCAGGAAGTGTGTAACATGAATCTCAATCGTCTACTTTATACTATCTAAATCAATGAAGAAACGTTGCAAGCTGCCGCATTCTGGTAGTAGCTAATTTAAATATTTAGCAAACATATTTACATTTATTCATTTCAAACGTTAACTACTCATGTTTGATTGAATATATACAGAGCGCTGTTGGACGCAACCGGTTAGTCCAGCTTGATTATTGTATTTTTAATACAGTATTATTTTAAACAGTGAAATTATATGCTAAATGAATGAGATGCTGTAGAGACAAAGACGATCGAATGTTGGAGCAGCCGAGAAAGAAAGCTGCGATTGTGTGTGTGTGTGTGTGTGTGTCGATGGGACACAGATCGCTCGAGGACGTCTGGCTGATTACTGGCTCCGACGAGGACAACTGTATTATACGCTAGTGGTGAACTGCGAAAGCAGACTGACGAGTTTTCTTCGGCTGGGCCAAAGTCTGGTTTGCTCCAGTATCGTTCTCGTAAAATATCTACCGACGGATTATTAACATTATAACACGACAGACACGGACCAAAACTCTCTCGATCGTTGAAACTAGTCGGTAACTCGTTTAGTCATTATCGCGCAAACACTGCACAAAGAAGAGAAACGAGAGACGATTTCGCATTGCAAACGTGACGCGCAGAACGTGACACATTTTCAATCGTCTGAGAAATTTGACCCCCGGAAATTGAATAGTTAGTGACGTTGGGACTTTGACGGTGCGTTGCCGACGACGACGCCGCTCTTTTGCTCATCACCGATTTGTGTTTTATATTTATTTTAGGTAAAATATTAGAGACGTGCGAACTATTCGAATTCGAATCGAATCGAATCGAATCTAATGTAATTCGATTCGATTCGAATCTGAATCCCTATGATTGTAATCCGAATAATTCGAAAATTTCGAATCGAAGATTCAATTACGAATCAAATATATTAGCGTGCATTATATTTGCATGCATCAACGTACAAAACGAGACATCTGGGCCTGTATGTTTGAACCCTTAACTTGTAATTAACTTGACTTATAATTAATAACTTAATTATAAATTACTTTAAATATTTAAATATATATTTTACTTTAAGATGATATTACAATATCAATATCCCCTTTCATATTAAAACCTTCCGTCATTATGTGCATGTTTAATAGTCATGTTAAATTTTTTAATGATTCGATTCGAATTCGAATTAAAAAAATGAGATTCGATTCGATTCGATTCGACATAAAAATTCTTGATTCGCACATCTCTATAAAATATACAATCTGGAAAATTTTTATCTGTCTAAAAAATCTACCTTATATGTGTGTGTGTGTGTGTGTGTGTGCTTCTTGTGTGAGAGAACAAATGCGCATGAAATTTTCCTATGAAATAATCCTATTATCACGTAAAGAATATCCACACACGCACGCACATATGTATTGTAATTATTGCAATTATTTGTCCGATAAAACGAGATTGCTTTATTCACGCTTGTAAACTTGAGAAATATCTCCGTGATGGTTTTCGCGTGTACCTCGGATACAATGTCAAAGATGCAACGTAGATGTGTATCTGCGTATTATATTTTACACGCGACTTGGTGTACTTTTATTTTTACGCGGTCAAACTTACTTACTTGGAATTGTCTCGCAAGATTCCAAAAGGTGTTCCTCGCATTCGTATCACTGTACGACCAGGACTGTACGTCACGCTGAATCACATTAATCGATTTCTTCCTTGTGAAACGTGACGTACGTTTTCGCAATAATGTGCATAATTATTCGCAAGGTGCAGACATAGCAATTAGCGATAACTCGTAATTAGATGCTGACTTTGACATGCAGAAGAACCTTACCGCGGCGGGCTGTTTCATCTAATAAGCGTGATCACGAGAAGTGGTGCTGCGGTTTGCTCTCTTGTCTACTCACTTGTCTACTCACTTGTCCCTGCTACTCGCTGGAGAGTCCCAAAAAGATGAACGCCTTAATGAGACGGCTGCGGCGCGGTTTGTAATCGTGACTAAAACTGCTGAAAATTTTCCAGGAGGAACGGAGTCTCGAGCGAAATGCTGGTGGTTCGCAGCAGCAATTTACTGAGTACGTACGGTGTGTCAGAGCCCGGAAGAAGCCGGTTTACGCATACTGCACAGCTAATCCGTCGTCTTGCATCTTTCGGCGCGTTTCTAATGAATAATATTTGTGAAATTTTGTCTCCCTTTTCTCCACTTTCTCTTCATTCCATAGCGAGGAATTTTTCCCAATGAGTTTGGCCAGAGACACTGGTTGCATAATCGCACGCGAGAAATATCCCGAAGAGAAAAATCATCATGACGCTACATAATGTCGTCGCGAAATTATTTGGAAGAATTATCTCGGGCGAACGCCCGAGTATGCCCGAGTTGCAGTTTCATGTCGTAACCGGTGACCTACTTCAAGTTACGTGTTCTTCTTTTTCTTCTTGTATTATACGTGTTCTGTGCATCAAAGCGCTACTGCGATGCAAGATATGCCCCAACGCATATGCGTATATTACGCATGTTCCAGTCGTTTGCCAAGAAAGAGAATAAAATCGATGAAATGATTGTTCAATTGTGTTTTAAATTAAATCTCTCTGGTTCACGATTTAGAAAAATTATAAATTCTTTTAATTCTTTAAAAATTGGAAAAATAAAGGAAGAAACTCAATAAGAAGGAACACTATTAAACCAAAACAAAATATTTGTTACTCTTATAATTATAGAAAAAATTAATATTTCTCTGAATTTTGATGTCTTGATATCATCCGATGAAATAGTCGATCCTTTTGAATTCTATGATGGATTCAGCTATAAGAGAAGTATCTCAGATTCAGTTTGGATTCAGTTTAGGAATCCAGGAATTAGGGATGAATAGAATCTTTCTATCTTGGTCTTGGTCAAGTTCTAGATTTGAATTAAGATCTGAAATTAAGAAAAGAATTAATAAATAGTCCTTCTGATGAATATATTCATTCTGAAAGAAACAACTTTCTCCTCTCCGTATCGTAGGAGTTCGAATAAGAGAAATTTTCAATTATGTAATAAACAAAGTTTTCTCTCATCGTGAGATATTCGATATGTTAAAAGATAATTAAATATCTTTTCACCCTTCGTGGAGAGTTTTCGTGAATAAAATCGCCGTTTTATCGCCTCTCCCATCGTGGGAGTATCGTTATGAAAATTTCAAGATGTTACCTTATTTTGTAAAACTTCACACCTTTATCTTTAATTCTGATTCTAAATATATATGTATGTGATATCGTCCGAGCTCGAAAAAGGAATGAATTCCTGTAAACAAGAAAATTGACATTCGCCTGGCGTTGTCTCGAAACAGGCTTGTTATAGTTATATAAAAGATATTTATATCGTGTTCAAAAAAAATATGATTCTGCGATTCGATTAATTGTTCGATCTTACCGAATTTCTAAAATAGGTTTTTGATCAAAGTGCTACAACTCAAGATGACGATAATTAATGTTAATATTTCATAAATTAACGCGTTAATACGTAGTAAATAATTACGTAATATACGAAACAGTATGTCATGCAGTATGAGAATATAGCGTGAAACTCGTTGGCTATTTCCATAATCGTATCAGTAGTGCCACTGCTCGATTCCGCACAAACAAGTTCTTATGTAACGTGTGTGATTTCTGCATTTGTTCTCTTCTTAT